CTAGCATAACACAACAAAGTTCATAAGAGAGACGGTCAGGAGAAATCTAGCAAAATCTACTTTTCTTACATGACAACAGTTCAAAAATTGAGTTCTTTCATTTTTTGTCCATAGATTAGACAGCTTTTAGGTAGTTAAGAAACGTTAAGTAAATAGGCCATTTGCACGATGGCGTCATTTTACTACTACGACCATAATCCTCCAGAGTATTGCTCTCTTGCACAAATTAAGGATTTTTGTTATTTAAACCCCACTGGGACTACCAAATTTAAATATGAAAGGGTAAAGGAACTAAATTGTGGTCTTAGTAGTAACAATACGTCATCGTGCAAATGGCCCATTGTTCCCACCAAAAGCGAGACAAATAGCTCTTTCCACTAATGACGTGACTCAAACATTAAACCTGACCAGTGTAAGAGTTTAGTATGGGAAAGTCACGTTCGGCAACAAATTTTCGTCATCTTTGAAGATGTTTATCGTTAAAGGAAACAAAATCCAGCTTGGTTTCGATAATAAATATCCTGAAAATAATAAACGCATGCAAAGACAGCGTTAAATGACGTGGAAAAACTGTACAGATGAGTGGTTGTATTTCTTATGCGGCGTCATGATACTGTGGGTAAAATTATGTTAAAATATGTGGAGATCAGGGCTTCATAGTTGTGCATGAAACGGTGCATTTGGTTAAATTCATAGGCAAAGGTTGCTCAATTTTTTTTTCGAGTGCTTATTTTACGCTACTTGGTACTACAGGATATAAAATACTAAAGTATTCGTCCCAGATTCATATACGGTCTACTTGGCCGCACAACAACAGAACAAACTCATACAGTTTCCGGTTTGTGCTAATGTTGGTGTGCTTTAATTCACCTTAGATATTCAATCTGTCACAGGCTTGCGAGAAGCACATCCAAACTCGATTAGCAATTTCGGTTTTGGAGTATTACACTGCCAATAATGTTATGTCATGTTTCAGTGCATAGCTGTGCTATGACACAGAGCTAGGAATCCGATTTCAGTAGCCTTCTTTGATCGAGTCGCTTTATTTTCTGATTTTAACCATTTATTTGAGTTACTGGACCAGGTTTTTTCTCCCTGTAGCAGTAGTGCCTTTTTTATATTGAAATTATGCTCAAAAAACATTTTAAAGACGCTCACTGCGAATTTTATGAACAATTTGCATGTCGGATCATACAAAGCCTTGGAGTAGATTGCAAAGTTTGTCTGAGTCACTCGGGGGGTCCAAGGTGACAAAACCTATTTTTAGTAATAGTGGAAAGCGCTATTAGAATATTGGTTTTTGTTGTCGGAGGCTCAGAATGGCCTAATTTTTAGCCTGAAATTCACTAACATCAACTTTCCTTGCACTTGCAAACAAAGCCGCACTGAGACTGATTTGGACAATTCCCCTTAGCAGAAAAACTCTTTTCCTTCCACTAGAATTCAACATGTGATATAACTCCAAATTTTCTTCATCCTAGTTCATCACACATTTATAGACATTCATCTAAAACATACCTGGCAATTGGCTTAAGCTTCTTGAAGGAAATCTCTGTAAACAGCATCGAAGTTCAGGAAATGTCATGGTAGTAGGCCGGCGTTAATTGTGTAACACTTCCAATTTGGAAACGTACAAAAGTAGATATTTGAACCCTAAATGCTCTTTCACATTGAATTTTAGTTTCCAGAAGAACAGTAAAGATATTGAGTCTCGAGGTCTCAGACTTACTTTTAGTAAGGTGGATGTAGGCAACGGTGTATGTTGTTAGGCACTAACAATGTTGCCGCAGACAGAACGTTACGTGTGAATGAGAACTAGATGAAACCACTTTTGAATCAATCACAGCGTGTTTCTTCAGACCCCAAATAGACCTTTTCGCTTCTCGATTAAATCATCAGCTGCCCAGATATGCTGCATGGCAACCAGATCCTGGAGCAGAGAGGGAGAGGGAGAGGGAGAGGAGGACAAAAATAAAAAAAGAACAGCCACGAGAATGGGGAATGAGACGGAAGTTGTGCAAGGCTTTCCATCTCTCCTTTTCATTCTCCTTTTCACAATCACAAAACAAAACTATACAATGCGAAGGATTTTAGTTGCTCTCTGTTCGTGTTATAGGCATGTACTAGCTATGCAAAGAACGGTACTTCCTTCTTCTTTGTCTGCTTCCTTTCTGATGTGGAATATAGGTTGGCGTGGTAGCAACATTTGGATTAAACAGCAATGAAAAGTAAAAACCAAACATCATACATATTATTGCATTAAAATTGCTTTTAAAAAAGACACAAGAGATTTAACAGAACTTTAAAAACAATAATTTCAGGTTGCTTTTTTTAATTGATAAGATATGCGCATGTTTCCGTAATAAAATAGGATGACCCACCCCTAAGGATAGCTGAAAATTGATCGACCCCCGCCTTTGCACATGGTGCAAAAACTGATGACCGACCCACCCCCGCGCTGCTTCGGCATTCCCCCACCTATACTTTTAACTAGTCCCTAAAGAATTAAAAATACACTGATTCACAAATACGACAGTGAACTGTTCGCTTAAAGTAGCTGTTGGAAAGATCGTAAAAAGTAAACTCCGTACAAGGGCCCCAAACGGTTTATTCCTCTATAGTACACGCATGTTTTTAAAAACATGTTTTTAAATGAGCGTTTGAAGCCGTTTAAAGCTTCAAATGCTTAGTTGTGCCGATTTGTGTCCAATCATTCCAGATGATCAGAGATATCTACGATTTCAAGTTTTCATTAGATCATTAGTTGCCGAAGTCTGGAACGGTATTCCTGAAACAGTAAATCGCCGATCGTGTGGGATTTTCCCTATGGATGAAAGCCAGGGTTTAGGCCAGGTTTAGGCCATGATTTCATCTTCTTCGATGACGTTTGAACCCTTAGTGTAATGAAGGTAATTCCACCTGACTCTAAATGGTTGATTAAAAATGGTTTTAGTATTTAAATGGAACGTTAAAAATCACCCATTTTGCAAAGTTGTTGTTTACTCGTTTGTGTTGTAGGTCAGACTGTACGATTCAAAACTTCAAAATCTTCTGTGCAGTTATACACCTTTACTTAATTTAACAGTTTTTTCATATTAACTGTTCGTTTTAAACTTATTTTTTAAGTTTTGTTTAAATTTCCATATTTATAATGTTCAAGGGTAATGGGCTTGTAACTTCATGTAGGCACGCACACAAATTACTCTTAAGCGGCTAGCTTTAAATCTCCAGTTGCCACGCAATAGCCTCTGATTCAAATTCCGCGCGCATGTGTATTGACCTCAATAATTACACTATTTTAAAAAATTAAAATTGCTGATTACTACAATGAATTCATCTGGTTTTGAAAAATACCATAAATCCTAAGAAAACTCTGTGACAAGTAATTCCTGTTGACAATGGAGTTTTTCAGAAATGTCTTTCAACTTTAATATGTGTTATCTTCTTTCACGATGTTGTAGGGCAGTCGGTGAGATTCACAACAACATATGCTAAAATGAAGGTGTCAGGAAGGATTGGTCATTCTGTAAAATTCGTGTGGAAATTTTCTGGAGGAGTGGACTTAGTAACCTGGGGATTAGCGAATGATGGTGCAAATTACATTGACAGAAGAAACGGACGTTTACTAAGTTTAGACGGCCGTGGTGACGATGTGCTGCCACCTGCATTAGTCCCTGTTGCATACAGAGGTCGTGTGAATGGAACTCGCACTGGTGACTCGTCCTCTGGTCAGGCCAGCTTCACACTTTATAATGTTACAAAAGATGATGAGAGATTTTATGGCTGTTTGTTAACACCTGATAACCCAAATTTCAGGGATTCAACTGACTTCGTGCAGTTAGTTGTTGTAGGTATGTATCTTTTTAGAGAACGTTAGATTCGAGCACTAGGACGAGATCTGACTTGTAAAATAATTGTAAATATATCTTCATATAAGAAGGTGGGATATGGTCATTCGCGTGAGTGTAGTCCTGAATAAGACTGCTTTTGACAGTGACTAACGGTTGTACAGAAGAAGAACGGCTGTGTAGAAGTCAGCTTCAGAGCAATGCAATAAGTGCCAAATGGGAAAATAGAATAGCCGATTTAGGGGTATTTTTCTCTGTTTACCGCTACAAATTGACTGTATAGTGTGCTATTGTCCGATTTTATGAAAACGCTGTAAGGAATACAAGTCTCCGATTTTACTATTTTTCTGATTCTGCTATACTACGAATGTGGTGTGCTATTGTCCGATTTTACCGAAATGTAATTCGCGTTGTTTTACCATGTTCCCAAACGTTAGTCTACAAGAAGACTCTAACTGTATAATTATTGGGACTTTACGATACTACAAGTTACAAATGGCTCCTCTCTGGCTTGGTATGTGGTGCTTCAAGAATGAGAAATGCTCAGTTATGGGCAATGTCAGTAATGCTAAATTTTAATGATTTCATAAGGATTCCACAATAATATAATGTTTATAAGGGAGAACGTGTGATCCGATTATCTTGAACCTCGGGTTCTACCTGCAAAAGGTCTAATTTATATAGCGAATTAAATGTTTCATCGATGGTTTGATAGAAATGGGGCCATCTTTACAAACATCCGATCGAAAAGGCTATGACGTTATAATTACATATCCAGTTAAGTCAAAGTCAATAGATGGTGACCTTACAACCGTGGTGACGGTTCTTAGATAGCATGGCTTAATGGCGATGTACATTTTACACAAACCTGGGGTCAATTTAATGTAACTTACAAGTGTAGCTATTGTTTTCAGACCCTAAAACAATGGCTACACGTGTGACTTCCACTTGTAAAAGTTTTATAAAATTGACCTCTGGAAGATGCTGGCCTAAAACATCGTTGACAACCACTTTATTAAGGTCTTCAATTACTATCCTTTTATTAATTTGTTAGGTCCACCAAATATCACACACGTATCTCATAATCAGACGGCAAATGAGGGAGATCAGGTGATACTTAACTGTACAGCTGATGGTAATCCACCTTCAAACATCACATGGACAAGACTCGTCAGTAACAGTCACGTTACCTTTCCTCTGGCCGTCAGCAGACGTGATGAAGGAGGTTACAGATGCACTGCTGATAATGGTTTTGGTTTTAAAATTCGTGATGTCTTCATTACTGTACATTGTGAGTACGAATATTTATTTTATGATTCATTGCGATTTGGAATGGATTATGGTCTCACCATAAAAGCAGTAAATATGTCCTCTGATGGTCACCTTTTTTTGCTATACGAAAGACATACATTTGCTGTACTTAATGAGCTTAACCGTGTAAACTGTAAGTTACTGACCTAAGTTATTTATTCATTTAATTATTTTCCAATACTTTACTTTAAGGCTCATTCGTATGATAACTTAAAACAATTAATGGTAGTTTTTTTGCCGGCTTTTGTCGCCCTCATATGTTACCTTGGTAGAGAGCAGTCACCGACATATGAATCGTAAAATTACTCCTCATTTTCCCCCCTTTACTTAAAGAATAAAATGAAATAAAAATTAAAATAAGAAAGAAATTAAATTCAACGTACGATCAGTGTTAAGAAAACAATCACAACAAAGCACAGCCCTTAGATCTGCATCGAAAACAACGTAGCAATATTTTTCAGCAATATTCATAGCCTTTTATTGGTGGCACGATTGTATTTCATAGACGCAGCTATAGTAGAGACGGTCGCTCCTGTTACATCCCAATCTTGGATTGGACAAACTGTAAAATTGACTTGTGCTGCAGATGGCTCCCCGACGCCAACCTTATCTTGGAAAGACCCGAGTGGGAGAGTAATAAAGCAAGAAACAGAATTGAAAACAACAGTAGATGTGCTGATGATCAGTGATCAGGACTTTGGTAATTACACATGTGAGGCCACTAATGATGTAAATACTGATACAAACACAGTGTTGGTGCAGCAGATAAGTAAGTGGAATATCTTTTCCTTGCTTGTATATCTAGCCGGATTTTTGAAACCGGTATCGCCAAATGGACCTTTTGCGTCCAAGAACTGTTTCCAAAGATGCTATTATAAAAACTAATAGTGCAGCCATTACTTTTTTCTCTTCTCCTTCTTTCCTTCCCCTCGCTCTTTCTTTTTCTCCTTTCCCTTTCCTTCGTTACTATGATTTTGGAACTTCTCGGGCTTAAGAAACCTGCCTTTTGCCTTTTTCAAAACATCGGTTAGATATAAATATCTGTGATTCTGTCATATGCCGTTTGTGTGATGGTTGCAGGTATTTCTTTCATTTTTAATATGCATCAAGGGGTATGGGCCTTTTGCAGCTAAACAGTCTCTTAGGATAAAAACTCCTTGAGCATGGCCAAGAAAAGCACCACGACTACGTCATGTACGAGGCAAATTTCCCGTCTTTCCAAAACCCACGTCCACCTTGTCGTCTGCGCTCTAGCAAGGTGTTTATGTAACATGTGACTGTTTGGCGGCTGCAAAGCGTCCGTACCCCTAAATGCATATAGGTTAAAATTGAAAGAAATAATATGTGCACAAACTCCCAAATGACAGAAGGATGATACTTCATCCTAATTGCAGGTGTTTGTATATTGTAGATGTTTACAACCAAACACAAAACAATCCAAGAACGGCCCATTAATCCACATATCTGGATGTTGGGTATATTATATTTACGAAATGGTAAACGTGCAGCGTGCAACCATGGAGCAATGGTGCACGCGGGAGGTTGCTAAGCACGAAAGAATCGTAAGAGTTGCACGAGGCGATAGGCAAGTGCAACTATACCTTCTTGAGTGCTTAGCAAACCTCCCAAGTGCATCCATAACTTCATTATTGCACAGCTGCAACGTTTACCATTTCTTTTATAACATAATCAAAAGAGAAACATTTGTATTTGCCTTCGGTTGAGTCATCGATACGAGTTTATCTATGCTGTCATCTGCCCGCGCATAAGCAAATCATGTTTTTTAATAACAATAATAATAATAATAATAGACACTTAGCGCGGTATCCACTAATTGCTCAAAGCGCTGTACAATAATGTGGTAAGAAACTAGAGTTAAAAACTATTATAAGATAAAATAAAAATTAAATAAAGCTACTAAAATCAAACACCGTAGGCTAATTTAAATAAGTATGTCTTCAATTGCGTCCTGAACTGGTCGACAGATGTAACACTCCTGAGTTCAGGGGGCAATTGGTTCCATAACCTAGGAGCAGCTGCGGAAAAAGCCCTATCACCATACGTCTTTAACCTAGTCCTAGGCACGGCTAGAATATTCTGGGAACTAGAACGAAGTACTTGAATCGTGGACCAGTAGCGCAGAAAGTTCGCAAAGGTAAGTTGGTGCCAAGCCATTTAGACATTTGTAAACTAAGAGTAAAATTTTAAAATGTATGCGATAACCCGGCGGCAACTAATGAAGTTTGAACAGGATACGAGTGATATGGTCAAACCGCTTAGATAATGTAACAATGCGTGCAGCAGTGTTTTGTATCAGTCTTAACCTGTTTAACAGGTGTTTAGGAAGACCGTATAACAAAGAGTTACAGTTATCGAGTTTAGAGCTAAGAAACGCATGTACTAAAATTTGAGAGGTATCTTCACTTAAGTACTTCCTGATCTTAGCTATGTTCCTTAAATGATACTGACAGGAAACGCAGATTTTGTTAACATGGTCGGTTAAATCAAGACACTGATCTATAATCACCCCCAGATTTCGGGCGGAGGGTTTAAGTTGGATCTTCTCATCAACCACTTGGATAAACTCTAGAGGAGGCCTGCAACGAAATTTTGAGCTGATGAGAACAAGTTCAGTTTTATCGTGGTTGAGTTTAAGACCATTGCTCACCATCCAACAATCAATGTCGTTTACACGGCATTCGACACGACGTTTAGCCAAAGAGAGATCATAACTACAGTCAGTTCTAAACGACATATACAGCTGGGTATCATCAGCGTATAAATGATACTGTAACTTGTGGAACTTTATGATATCAGCAATGGGTGATGTATAGAGGGGATAGAGAAGAGGGCCCAGAACAGATCCTTAGAAACGCGTTCTAGAGAGCGCTGGGTTGACCTACAGTCATTGACCCGAACAAACTGCGTGCGCGACGTCAGGTATGACTCAAACCATGCAGCTGCAGTACCGTTTACTCCGAAGCGGTCATGCAATCTTTATAACAGTATCGAGTGATCAACCGTGTCGAAGGCAGCTGACAAATCCAATAAAAGAAGTATAACAGACTAATTGGTGTCAATAGCACACAAGATGTCATTCTGGACCCTTACTAAAGCTGTCTCGGTGGAGTGAAAGTTCTTATATGCAGACTGAAACGTCTCATCTAAGTGCTGCGATATGACGTGATCTGTGAGTTGTATGGCAACTGCCTTTTCAACAATCTTCGATACTACTTTTACGTTCGAGATAGGACGAAAGTTTTGGAACTGTTCAAAGTCAGCATCAGATTTTTTCAATGTGGGCGATAGTGTAGCAACCTTCACAGCATCGGGCATAACACCAGTCGATAAGGACAGATTGGTAATAGTAGGAAGTAATACGGTAAGACAGCCTTTCAAAACTACCGCAGGTAGAGGATCAAGTTCACAAGATTTAGAGAGTGGTTTCCTTGAAAACGTTTTTATTTCCTCCAGGGTAACCTCAGCAAAGTTACAAAACTCTGTACCACAAACTTTGACGTCAGGAGGGGAAGACCCAACGCGTATTTTCCTTTCAACAAGCCCTTAATGTATTTTATCAATTTTGCTGGTAAAGAAATCGGCAAATGAATTTGCCAGGGCAGTATCATCAGAAGAAGGAGGATAACGCTTGTTGGTTGATTTTTGCAATAACTTTCCAACAGTCTTGAACAATATCCTCTGATTGGATGAGTGTTCATTAATGATGTCAGTGTAATATGTAGACCTTAGTGACTCAGTAGCACTGATGAACGTATTGCTCACGATCACATAGTAACCTAGTCGAACGCCACTTCCGCTCCAACCGCCTTCGGATGTTTTTCTGTACCACCACTTCCGGTTTATACCAGGGAGCACTAGGTCGTAATGTTACTGTTCGCCGTTTTAAAGGGGCATAGAGATCCAAGAGCGATCTCAATACATTGTCATATTGACCCACAAGAACGCTGAGTTCAACAGCTTGATCCTGTAGCAAAGGAGAAGTCAAGATATCTTCACAAAAGGATTTAATATCCAAAGAACGGAGTTTCCGATAGTACACCATTTTCTTCCTGAAGTGCGGTTTTTGTACACTCAGGTTACAATGAACCGCACAGTGATCCGAGATTACACTGGGTCGAAAACCTTGATTTCAGTAATGAAAGGATTATCTTTTTTAGAAATTACAAGATCCAAAGTGTGTCCGTTAGCGTGAGTTGCTCCAGTAACGTGTTGTTTTAGGTTGCAAGATTCAAGAATTTCATTAAAGCGGTTTGCATAGATGCTACGAGGGTCACCAACATGTAAATTGAAGTCACCAGATATTGGTAAGTGACCAGTGGATTCAGCCATAATTTGTTCCAGAAGCACTGAGAATTCTTCAAGAAATAGCACACATGAGGTGTTATCGGGAGGGCGATAAATAAGCAGAATTCTAATGGATTGAAGACTTCTAAAGTGAATATCCATGAGTTCAAATGTCGTAAAGGTATCGGTGATGTGACTGTTAATTTGGAGAGTGTCCTTAAATAACAAACCAACACCTCCACCTCGGGAATGAACCCTCGGAACATGTAAAAATCTATAGCCAGTTGGACATAGGGTTCTAATCTCAACATCATCAATAATGCCAGGACGCAGCCAAGTTACAGTGAAGTGAAGCCAAAATATCAATGTCTTGATCAACCACAAAGTCTTTAACTGCCATTGCCTTGTTCTTAATGGATCTAACGTTAAGAACACAAAACTGAACACAGCGACAGTCAATTTTTGGAGAATTTGTTGTAGTTACTGATATTAAATTATTCAAGTTCACACCACGAAGAGTCAATGGCGCTTGGAGATAACCACAGGCGGCCCAGACGTAGTATGTGTCACTGAATGAATATATTAATATTCACATGGACAAATTAATGCGATGAGTCGTCGAAACTCCAAAGAACTAAAATAGTCCAAAAGTCAAAATATAACAAAACGAAGCAAAGATACCTTTAACTGAACGTATCCTTGTCTTTCCTGGCCGGGTAAAGTGGCATTTTGTTAAGTTTTGCAAGTACCTACAATTGCAAAACTCAGCAAAATGCCACTTTAACCGGCCAGGAAAGACAAGGATACATTCAGTTAAAGGTATCTTAGCTTTGTTTTGTTATATTTTGATTTCTGGACTATTTTAGCACATGGGAGTTTCGACGACTCATCCTATTTTGTCCATGTGAATATTAATATATTCATTCAGTGACACATACTACGTCTGGTCCGCCCGTGAGATAACCAAAATTAGCATAATCACGTTGAGTTGTTCTAGAAAATATATTTAAATAATTTCCTCGGATCTTCTTTCCACCTTTTCCTCCTCTATACCTCAGAGCACCAAGTGATTTTAGTTCGCCCAGAACTTGAGGACAAGGAGTTCAATAACTTGTGAAGTGGAAAACTTGCCTTTGAGGTCTTTGAGTTTTTCTTTCGCTGAATCAACCGTTCTCCGTCTTCAGGTAAACTGCAAAACGTTTTTGTAGTTATTCTGAATGGCATTTGTCTACCTGCTCTTAATATTAAGGCAAATACTTTGAGGGAAAACTACATCTACAACTATAAAACCTAACTAAGAAACACTAACTAATAAGCTTCAACTTTAATAATTATTATTGATGCGACAATTTTTGCAATAAACGTTAAGTAGAAATGAGAAAATCTGACTGTATTTCCTTCCTTTTAAAAAGAAATTAACTAGCTTTGTATCGAAATCTGTCTGGGGAAATCGAGCTATGAAAGTCAAAATTGCAACTGAAATTCGCCGACACAGTCGGCGTTGAAGCGACGGGTGAGCAATAATTAGATGCTGTTGTTTTTCGACCGTTCTCTAAAGAGGCTACTGTCATGAATAAACAGAAACAAAATTAATTATAAAAACAGAAGTCATTTTTTAAAAAAAGTATTTGAAAACCCAAATGTTTATGTACCCAAATGAAATTGGCTTTACAATTAGAGCGGAATGTGACCGTATAAACTCAACTAAAAGTTTTGATCAATGCGATGAAAACTACACAACAAATCTGTCTCGAATCTGAGCGTGTTTCCTTTAAAAAATTCACCTTGAATTTAACATCAGCTCTACTAAAAAGTCAATAACACAATGCTAAATGATAAATTTCCATTTCAAAACAGACTTTCCCTTCTATAAAAACACAAAAAATGTACCTTAAATCTTCGCTCACTCGTCTGAGTACTTTCTTCAACTTCCACTTTTCATTTGTACATTTCAACGGTGCATTTTACTAATAGGAGAAGAGATATGCTGAATTTGCCTCAATTTTACAGCGCTAGCTTAGTTTTTCTAACTGACCAATCAGAGCGCGCGCGTTACTTTTATGTTATGTTATAATTAACAATTATTCCACGAGGGCGCGTTGGATATGAGATGGTAAATGGCCAACGAGGCGCGTAGCGCCAAGTTGGCTATAATCATGTCATATCCAACAAGCGCGAGTGGAATAATTGTTTTATTAAAAACGCCCACAAAATCTCGTTGAATCTCCCCGACTTAATTTTGTTAGAACAAACCGGAAAAGACAAGGGACTTCCGCTATTCACATGTCACACGTCTATCAAAACTGTCAACGCGCGAACCGACTCGCCTGGACTTGATGAATGAAAAATCAAAACATTGTAAGTTACCCATATAAGAAGGCTCCAGAAGGCTTTTCTGGATTAAGGCCGTTGCCATGGGAACATCGCATCCTTAGACTGGCAGTAATTTTGTCATTTTTGCCCATTTTTCCCAGCCTAGTCCCAAGGCGTTTTCGGCTCGGTCATTCCTGGACTCTACCATAAGCTGTGACGTCACCGAGAGGTAATCGCCGACATTGCCATATCAAATGTGGCGGCCCTTTTCTGTCAGGTTACTGCAACTTCAGCAGGTAGCTGAAAATCCGTCTTTGGAACAGGCAGAGTTTCTATGTGCATGCCAGAGCGACAAACAAAGTTTAGATTTCTTAAATAAGGATCCACAAAGCCAAGTTTTGTTCAACTGAAGTGGACTTTCACGCGCAGCAACTTGTATCAGACGATCGATGAACTTCTTTCTTCAATTTGTGCCAATGAATCTCAGCACGAGGAGTTCAGGTTACAGACTGTCGTCGAAACCGTGTAATCGAGGAAACAAGGCAAACATATATATATATATATATATATATATATTGTAAAAATATGCTTCGTTACGGCATTTCTGGGCATTTGTAAGCTCTTAATGTTTTAAAACCACGCATTAAAAGTGTCTCTCCCAAAAAAAAAGTAGGTGCTGTGGGTTTTGATTCATTTCGTAATTTATATTTTTTTTACTAAAATGACGGTTTCCAACAGAAAAACGGCACACCTTTCTTCAGCTTTGTTACCTTTCTCACGAAATACAGATATTGAGGGCCCAGATGGGTGTCTCCATACCGCACTTAAATTTTTGACAGCTAAAAATGTATATAGTACATTAAGCTTAAGTTTATGTTAGATAAGAAGTTCGATTTTCAGTGTTTAAGCATTGAACCCTTGAAGATATAAACGATACTGTGTAAACCCTACTGGTATGGTTATTGGACTGAAGTGCCTATAGATATATTCATAACTTCATAGAGCTATTGTTAGCAATAAAAAAAAACCTATTTTAGGAGAAACAGATGTGACAATGAAGAGCACTTAAAAAACTACTTTATTTGACATTGCATTTTTGAATTGAAAGAATCATGAACTTGGACAGCAGTTCTTCTTTTCTTCCCTTCCCTCTCTCCCTGCAGGCTTCTCTTCTTCTGCCATGCTACCAGAGTTTGGTTCCTTTATTTTTTCCCCACTAAGATTCTCATTAAAATACCTGAAATTTAATGAATTAAAAACAAAAATCATTTTTAAGGTTGAAAATTAACCGTGTTAAAAGGGGATGTACAAATGTGGCTGGTGATTAAAAGATTGGAACCATTTGTACATCATATATTAAAGACAATATTATTATTATTTTGCAGATCTATCAATGCTATCTTATTGTCTTTGTCCTTGCCCACCCTCCTTGCCTCCCCTCTTTTTCTGCCTGTCCCAATATAAAACCCACTGGGATCAAAAAATGAAATATTGGCAATTTACAATGAGGCTATAATATGCTTTTAAGGTTTCCTAGTTTAAAATTGCTGTGTACGTAACAATAATGAAATAATTGGAGTTTTTCAAATAAGGAAATTTAACTACTCAATTTAATTAAAGTAAGAATTACATTCCCATAATTAGCTGAAAGATTGGATAAGAAATTATTATTATTATTATTGTTGGAATTAGCCATAGTGTAAAAACAGTCTGTAATATAAATGAATACATTACACAGTTGTACCTATTTTTCCGGTCTCTTCTGCTGACTGGTCTTCATTGATGGAATGTTTGGCAATGTCCTTGTGTCCTTGTGTCCCTTTTTACAGAACATATAAAAGAAGGATGAGGAGAATATCTTGCAAAATCATTAAATGCGTTGTAAACAAAACTCTTAGAGTATACTTTTAACACAGAAATGTTATCAAAAAATAATACATTACGCAAAAATAGCTTCAGGCTTGCCCTAGAGGTCATTTTATTTCCAGTGGCTACAACTCACTTCTCCAGATCTTCGAAAATACCAAGTCATAATTGAGTTAGTTATAGTACAAAGATAAAGAGGATGGGCACGAGGCGAACTTTCGAGAATAAACAACGTCACTAATCAAGGTCGAGGTCGGGGCTCGGCTGAGGCTGATGACCCTTACTGAGACCTTGATTATTCTGGATATCACAAAAACCCAATCTAATAATTGTTTTATTATACATTGAACGAAATATTTCTTTCTCGCTTCGACATAAAATGTATGTTTTCAAAGTTTGTGCCAACTCTTTCTTTTCCTGAAGTTCTCCCAGTTTTTTCTGTTTCACGTAATCAGAAAACAGCTCCTTTGCCACCTTCGACGACCTTTTTGTGTTTTGTGAGTCATTGTCGTCAACTATTTTTTCTATGATTTCGGCCAATCAGAAAAGAGATAGTGAGTTCAATGTGTAATAATTAGTATTATTACGGTGATATCTCGCCAGTTGAAAAAGGAAAGATAGCGGATTCAATTTTATACCTAACACTGGATGTTTTCTTCGAAGTACTTGACCACTGTACCCAAAATTCGAGCCGTGGCAGTCACTTGTGCGGATGGTGATCATCGAACATGAAAACGGTGGTTGCGCAAGGATCGCAATAAGCCCTTCATTTCGTAATCTGTTGTACCGACTGTTTGCAGATCTTCAAACGTCAGCCCACTTCCGGATTCTCTTTCAACCTTGTTCTTCTTTAGGGATAATTTTGGCGACGAAGTTTTTCTTCAAAAGTCTGCTGTAAGAGATGGCGCCGATCTAAAAACGTACGTCACGTCGTCAGCTGCACGTACAAGACCGTAGTTCTTGGCAGACAACTATTGCCTTCGTCAAGGGTCCATCTGTGACTCAAAAATTATTTTTCGTTGTGCAAAAAGAGTTTCTAGTGCATCTTGTGCATTGAAGGACTTTTAAAACAAGAAAAGTACAAGGATGTTGGTTCGTTGATGGAAAGGTTCCTTCGATTAGGATGCAGGTTAAGTAGGAAACATTTTTTTGTGATACCGGTAAGTTTTTTATACGATGTGATAGAGTCGGCAAAACAAAAAAAAATTCCACTGTCTGTAATATTGCCTTAAGGCCACTTCTAGAATTTCTTAAACCAAATCAAATGTAAGAGAAATAAAGTGACCGAGGAGCTAACCTCCGCCGGTGAAGACATTCGGGACTTGGTTCGATCTTTCAGATCTTTCCACTGACTATGAACCAAAGACTAGAAACAGCAACATTGCCTTCTTCAGGATTAGTGTACTTTACTTCTTTGGTTTCTTTGTAAAGTTTCCATTCACCATTTACTTCGAGTATTTTACGTTTGTCTACTTTTGAAGCGAAAGAATTGATGTCTTTGGAAAATTTCTGCTTCGTTTATACATACAATTTACTCTTATGGAGATCGCTGGTGACTTGTCACCGGTGTAACATTGTCTCCTCTCATATATGTTTGACTTACACTAACCAAACTTTTTGAAGAATGAGCTTCAACAGAAAGTTAATAAAGTTTTTTGGGAGAATATTTCGAAACTGAGAGGCCAAGTTTGTTTTATTTTTGCGTGGACGTCGCGCGGATTTTAAAGCTCGCGCCATACTAGTGCTCAGGCTGCGCATAGCCAATTTACTCTAGGGAGCCACCTTAAAAGAGGTAGACCTTAAGCAAATAAATTTACCCTTTAGTTCTGCCTCGAGGTCTTTCTTTTAAAATATTTTCCTAGTGAGGTATTTAACTTCTGTGATTAATACTAAAAGTCAAAATCCCAGCTTTCGCCAGTCAACGGCATCATCATCTCAGTTCTATTTTTAAATTAATGTAAGAATAAGATGTCTATCAAGCTTGCTATAAATCGTCTAAGGGAATATATGTAGTTGGTTCGTAGTGCTTTTCATCTTTCATCCATTTATTCTATTTGTCCATCCTGCTCCTGTTGGTTATGTCATGTGTGGTTCTTTCTTTTTTCTGTATTTTCTCCTTGTAGTCTTTCTATATAACCATCAGGTAACAAGACAAGATGGAACTGGGAGCTATAGTAATATTCTTTAGCGTTTAGTTTTAGAATTTGGGGTTCTGACGGAAAAGTTACCGAAACGGATCCCTGATTCGCACAAGCATGCAAACGACTGACCTGCTATTACCCATCTACCATGCATGCATTTCTGCGGACCTATTTTGTTTTCCTTCAGAGGCACCAGGCTCACCGACCGCCACAGTGAAGATTGAAGCAACGTCAATAACAGTTACGTGGACAAAACCAGCTCATGATGGAGGAAGTCCTATTACAGCATACAGAATTTTAATGCTGCGGGGCAACACGGAGATAAAAGATGAGAATATTACGGATACGTCCGTCAAGTATCAAGATATTGGAGGTCTAAGCAAAAGCACAAACTACACTATTAAGTTGTTTGCCAGAAATTACGTGTTTGAGGGAAAAGCAAATGAAAGGAAAATTCAGACCAAGTATGGAGGTATGAAAATCTGTACTAAGAATGCATAAGAATTGTATTCAGTCAGTTGATTTATTTATAATTATATTCATTTATTTTTATTAATAAAAGTGGACCAGCACAAAGCAGCGTATTTTTTATATGACGATAAATCCGTCAGCTCCGAAACTAAATATTGTACTTTATGCGAATCCAGGGTCCCCATGCAATCATAGCCCCTTGTTACGCAGGAGTTTATATATTTATCTATTTATTTACCAGCTTTTCTGGACACAGGCCTGCCCAGAGGGAATGTGCACGAACAGGACTCAGGTCCCATGCGAGGTGCCATCCCTACCCAATCCCACAACCCTTAAAGGTTGGCCACACCACCGGAGTCCACGACCCCTACTCTTTTCGAATAGTGATGTAGGTTCTTTTACGTCCCACAAGAACAAGACCTACGGTTGTTTGTCCTTATCCGAGAAGACTAGAAAGTCTAACCATTTGCAGATGTCATTACAAAGGCAGCACTTTCTTCTCAGTTATTTAAAGACCCCGAGTGTTGGTCCGGCTGGGGTTTGAACTCGCGACCTTCCGCTCGGCAGACTGGCGCTCTCCCAACTGAGCTAACCAGTCGGCGGAATGTTGTTATATCGACATGTTTATTACTGTTCGCACCCTAGTAGTAATTTATATAAAGTGAGTTTCTTTAAATCTGGAATGAAACAAAAACGTGTCAGAAAAATAAAACCAGTTGCTAACAAGATACGTAGCATTGTGAAGTATATATGAAAATCATATATGTGAACTGCGGGGTGAAGAGTTATATGAAAGTAGATCATCGCAGTTACAGACGCATATTTTGCAGTTGCGAAAAGAAAGCCTGAAAAAAAAAAGGTTACGTAGCTGTGTGCCGCTCAGAAGTATTTGTTAAAAAAATATGATAAAAAGCATTTATAACGGAACAACGAAAATTAACAAACAAAACCCCGTAACAACATAATTACGACGTAGCCGGTCACCCTTAGGGCTTTCGGAAAACCCGTTTTTACCATATCGTTTAGAACGGAAAGGACTGAAGGCTTCTTGTGAAATAAAGACTTAAATCCCCGGGCAGCGCAGTTACTTAATGTAAATTTGAAAATTGTAAAATCGACGCCGGCAATGCTACCCTCCAGGATAGGCCGATGAGGTTCCACAAGTTGACCTCTGAGAAGAGTTTACCTTTATAAAAGCAGTAAGGCGAGTGTAAGAGGCTTTTAAGGTCCCCGGCGGCCTAGCGAGCGACAAAATCGTGACAAGTCTTTTTAAGAAAAAAAAAAAGTCCTTCGCGCGTGCGCATAATCGGGACAGTGTCCCTTAGAGAAATATACTTAAAAATTCCGGTGCTTTTCCATGTCTGGCACAGTAGTGTTTTTTTTTTTACCTCACTGTATTTACGTAGAATTCTTTGGCGTATTCGAATTGTTTTCGCCCGGCCACTCGAAAACACCAAAACAATGGAAAAACAATGGAAATACGATGTATGGCATCATCGTTTTCAACAACCTCCGTTTCATCCGTTCACACGAAAACGACAAGCTGGTGTCTTTTTTCAAACCCCACTCTGGGGACCGTTTTTAATGCCCGGAAATACCGTTTACATGTTAGCGGCCGGAAAGCTAAACGGAGAAAAGAAGTCCGTCCCTTTTCAAAAATACCCGGTTACATGTGGACAAGGCCTAAGGTGAGCTTATGAAGCTTGTGCTCTGTCTACAAGCAGCATTTGTAACCAGATCTCTTGTTGTATCTCAACATAAAACTCACCTTATTCTTATCCTTTGTCCTGTATTTCCTGAAATTGTCCGCAAATAATAGTTTAGTCAAGTCAATACTCGAATTTTTTTGGGCTCACAAAAAACCTTTTTTATAAGTCCACGCCTGCATTCGCCACGTTCATTTTCATCTAAATAACCCAGGCGGGTATAGTTACAAATTTGGGTTTGTTTAATTTCGGATTACATAGTCTTCCTTATAATTTGTTACAAAGCATGTCTTCATTGAAAACGAGATAAGCTTTTAAGGAGGGCAACCGTTCGCATACTCGAAGTAACTGCAACCTAATTTTGCCAGGTTGTCAAATCAACTGAAAGTAAACTAGTTTTTGTTCGTCTTGTACTATTCATCTTTTAACGCAGGAGTCCCTACAGCAGCGGAGATCACAGATTTACCGGCTGAAACAAAAGATGTTGAAATCACCTTAAAATGGAAAGAAGCTGAAAACAATGGAGCCCCTATAACCCAGTACACTGTGTACCGAAGAACTGTCCATGAGGATGGCACATCACTGAAATGGATTAAAATAAAAGAAATTACAGATACGTCAGATCGTAACGCTGTTGTTAACTTGGAAAAAGGCAAAAAATATGAATTTGTAGTTACTGCTACAAACAGCTTTGGCGAAGCAGGGAAAGAAGAGAGAAAAATCAGCAAAATAAGAGTGTTGGGAGGTAGGTGTATTCTGGTCCAGGTATCTTAAGTCTTTTTACACTCTCTGTGTATTTTTCCTTTTTTAAAAATTCCACTATAAAATTAAAGTAGACATAATGTGTGGCATTGGACTTCACCAATGGTCGTATAATACGTAGCATCTGTTTGTGGATAAGTGTCTTCACTCCACCTTCGCCCAATGTGACCCTGTGTACACCCAAAACAAAGGAGAAAGCGTGTATTAAATATAATCCACTGATTAATCATCTCGCGATGTTATCGGCTATTTTGGTTCACGTGTTACCAAATCGGGAGGGCATTAGGCAACACACCTCATCCGTGTAGATATTTGCTCTATGACAAAGTCAACAAACTGGAGTCTCTTTTCATTTTTTATCTTCTTCAATAATTTAGAATGAAGATGTAAAAACAAACTTATTTTGTATAATCTAGTTTCACTAAAATACAGGGAAATCAATAAAATAGGTTATGAATCGAAGATGAGCAAAGTTTTCGAGTTAAGCTTTACATTTATGCACTTGAACAGAAACGTGAATACAGTTTTTTTACGCATTCGTACCTGTCAGCTATGGAAAAGAATACTTCAAGTGTTTACGAAGACAAGCCTTTTTTGTAGTGCTTTCAGCATGGAAAAAAGGGAGAAAAAAGCGTAACGGGCCATGAAACAATTAATTGATCGAGTCGTACAGTTCGCAACCGACTAGAACATTAGTTTGAGTCATCTCCGATTATCAGGTGATTCAATTTGTAACTCTGGTTAATTCCGGTCAATTCAACCTGTTCTTACAGTTGGGTCTTATAACTAGTTCTTCTTCCTTTTCTTTCTATGACTTCCTCAGCTTCCACCATCCACAGCAACAAATCCAGGTTTTGACAACAGCTCACTAAAGTAAATCCTTCAACTGCCCCAGATTTTTCAGTTTCTGTGTTTCATACTTGTAATAACTTTTCTAGCCCTAGCTTTGCAGCGGCAGTTAGTGACATGGTTGGATTCTCTTTGCTTATCCATTAGAAACGGTTTTTCAGTAGTTTTCAAACAGTGCTGTGGGTAAAATATGAGATAAAAGCGCTGTTTTTTGAGTTTTGATCTATGGGGCGTTTCAAGAGTGCATTTAACATGACAGCCACTCAAGACCTGGTCCAATCACAGTTTCAACAAAAAAAAAATCGACCAATCAATGTGCTTGTTTGCGTCATTCGCAATACTAAAATTAAAATTATAATAATAAAAATTTAAAAAATAGAATAAAAATTTCTGGGTTAAAAATAAAACAATTTAGAAACATTTAAGATTAAGAAGGATTGTATGCTAGTTTCAAAACGTGAGTCGTTAACTTTGATTTAAAAACAGTCAGAGTTGCACTTTGTGGTATTTCACGAGGAAGGTTGTTCCAAAGAAAAGGTCCCGAGTCTGCGAAGGTGCGATCACCAAATGCCTGGTAGTTAGCTCTAGGAACAGCAAGGTTATGGTCATTTGAACGCAGCAACATTCAGTACTTTTTGAAGAAGATCAGATTGGTTCTTAATGGCAACATAAAGAAAAGATTATAACATAACGCACGTGCTTGCCCTAGATAAGTCCTATTGAGCCGCTATGAACAAAATCTTTAGTTACCCACGCCCGTGCGTAAATAAGATGACGTGAGCATTTTTTTTACCTGGCTGCAGAGTGGCCGCCCTGTTAAGCTGTTGCGCAGTTTTCCTTCTCTTTAAAATATGGAAGAAACCAGCGAAGAACTGCCCAATTTTTCTATCGACGTTGACTTCTTAGGTCCTGATCCAACAAGCAGGAAAAATAAAGCCGAAAAAAAAAAACACGCAATGTGCGCGTTTCGCAAAGTTGTCGGAAGACCAGCTGCAGCAAATTTTGGGCGAAAGACATTCACTGGGAACAAAAAAAAGCGATGTCCTATCAAGAAGCTTCAACACTGGCAATGTTAGCCTGAGTCCTCTGCTACAGCCATAACTGTTCGTCTGTCAAAATAACAGTGTGGTGGTTGCCCAAGGGAAAACTGCAAGTTTCCTGCAGTCTGTCTTCTACAATTGCACCGAGCACGGCAGCGTAAACATTATTTTGAACAATCAAAACCCTTGGTAACTTGGGGTCTTTGACTTTTAGAACATTTTTGGCTTTGATTTTCTCCATTTTCCCCTTAAATTTTGAGCTTTTCATTCACAGTTCATACCAAAGTAAAAAATGTGGCGTGTTTTTGACCAGCCAATAGGGACGTTTCCTTACTTTTTTTGTGCGTTGTGAGAATTTTGCACTCTATCACAATAAAAAGCTTCTTCTCGCAGATCCTTGTTGTCGCTCTGTTATTGGCCATTTCGGAGTTAGGTAGGGAACTGGGGCGAATTTCAAATTAACTGACACCACCATAAAGGTCATGTTGAGATTGGTTTTTTTGAACAAGTTTGGAGCTCTAAAGTTGAACAGGGATCAAGTTATGACTCTTGAAACATGGTTAAGGATCCATACAAACCTCCATAATTTTTTGACAGCGTCCCCCAAAAGCATATGAACTCTTAATTTTTTTCACGATTTCTGTGATATTCGTAAAAATGGGCAAACACAGTTATTTTCGGATTAGTTCCTTCCAAGTAATAGATGCATGACGGATTTTACAATTTAAAAGAAAAACTGAAAAATTTTAAAGAGTTTATGTAGTTTTGGCGGACGCTGTCACAAAATTATAGACGTTTGTATATCTTTAACCATGTTTCAAGAGTCATAACTTGATCCCTGTTCAACTTTAGAGCACCAAACTTGGTCAAATGACCAATCTAAACATTACCTTTTATATGTGGTGCCTGTTTATCGATTAGTTTAATTTGAAACTCGCCCAGTTCTCTACGCAACTCCGAAATGGCTAATAAAGAATTTTCTCATGCTTTTTTAGCGTGCTTATATCGAGTTATGGATGCACTTGGGAAGTTTGGAGAACGCTCAAAAAGTTAAAGTTGCTCTCGGCTGCACCTCGAGCTACTCTTACGCATTTTTCGTTCTCTACAAACTTCCCGCGTGCATCCATAACTCGATATAAGCACGCTAAGCATGAACAAATTCTTAAATTGCAGTAGTCCATTATCGTATATCGGATGATAATGCCCTTGGCTAAGAGACTGTCTTCAAAATTTTACGTTTGCCCTCGAAACTTCGCTTCTCGGGCTAATGTTTATCTCTCAGCCGCAGACATTATCCTCCGACATACTAGCCACCGGAAGAGGTTTATTTACCCTTTGCCAGCTACTTCGGCTGCCTCCATCCATTGATGAGGCTTCGCTTGCTCCAGACAAAAAAAAACCTGCTTTGCTACATACCAGTACTTACATGTTTGTCGATCATTAGTCTCAAGACTTAGAGCTATGGATTTTATTGTGTCGTTTTCCAAGTGAGTGAATCTGTTTATTGTTTTCGAGACAACTTTTTTACTCGATAATGTCGTGCGAAATGAATGTCCAATGAAAATTATTTTTAAAAGAGTATGAAAGTACACTAATCTTTGATCGAAGTGAAGGACTAAACAATACATTGTGACAGTATTAAGAATTTTATGATAGCGTAGCCAGTGTAGTAAGGAGAGCCAAATACGGGTAGATGTGTTTTTTCACAACTGGCAATGTATATCAAAGCCTTAATTGTACCGTTTTTCAATTTTCAACATCACCTATGCACAAAGGTGGTACAAGTTATTTAAGGAAGAACGAGTAAAAAATTTTGAAAGGAAAATTAACAGCTCTGTGACATTTCTTTGAACGTAAGGTGTCCCATCAGCAGTGGCCTTTACTCACGAATTAAAAGCTCATGAAATAACCTTGATGTGGGAGGCACCAAACAACAACGGAGCAGAAATCACAATGTATACTGTGTACTATGGAACCCAAAGTGATAAGCAATGGAAGGAGACTAAAAACATAACTGATGTCTCAAGACGTAAATATGTTGTGAAAGTCGAAATAGGCCAGAAGTATAAAGTACTGGTAACAGCAAGCAACAAGTATGGAGAGAGTTCCAAGGAAGGCAAGATACAACTTGTTGACGTACCGGAAGGTGGGTTAAGTGCGAGTTTAACTGAAGATTTTGAAGATGGATCATCCGTCTCAGACGGATCATCCGTCTCTAGTACAAGTGTGAAAACGGCCATTGTGTGCTATTCAATTTAAATTAATGTAACAAAAAAATTGTAGATAAAACGCTGTTAATAAAAGTTAGTAGTCAGTAACTCCGACTTTGCGACAATGCTACCATTATTGATCCATTGAAACATTCATGAAATGTGAATCGTTCATGCTTTATAGGCCAGGCAATTAGTACCAAGATAGGATTAATACGACAATAGTCATTAAATAAGTAACTAAATTTTAATAGAAGGAAATAGTTGCAAAACTGGCCGACGGAAAATGTCAAAATGCGTATTATAAATAATTTTAAACGCTAAAAAAGCAACACTCGCGGCACTCAATCTAGCCTTCTGAGAATTAATTCTTGACTACCGTTACAAGAAGTTTCAGTTAAAAATAACCAAATGAACAGGTATAACTGTAAATCATTTCCACGTGACACGTTAGAATGATAGTATTCTTAAATATTTTTCTCAGGTTCCAAACCAACAGGAGGCCAAACAGGTGAGCGCTTGAAGGGCAAAAAATGCAATATAATAACAGACGGTTCCAGGCCATTGGATACTATATCCTCTGTATCATCTCTTTCTACTTGTAGCATTAGGGTAGTGCATAAGTGCATATGCAGTATCTGTCGCTGCGCTAATTTGCTTACAACTAACAGCAAACATTTTGTTTTAGGTTCCTCGTGTGGTAATCAAAAGGAAATTCTTCATGCTGCTTATATCACCATCATCTGTCTTTTGTTAATAACTAATCTTATTCTGATATTTGTCGTCTGCCAAATGCGCACCCGTTCAGGTAAGTGGGTTTTTATATTAAAAACATTTGTCTTGTTTCTAATTCTTTATTGGCCACGGTTACTCAACTTGCTGACAGGAGATGATACAGGACTAAAGTCCCAATTGATATCAACCCCTTCATGAGCCATTCAGCAGTCGGTATAAGCCCAGTTTCTTTTGCAAGGCTTTAAGAGTTTCAATTCTTAGGACATCATGTCGCTTTAAAACTGGATTTTAGTGGCTTTTTCCAATTTTCGTTGAAACTATAGCATATCAGATCCTGCCGCAAAGTGGGTGCGGCCATAATTTCATATGTTTCGTTATCACTATGGTTGTTACAAGAAAAAGACAACCTGGATGTAGTAGAAGTGAATGCGTCCATAAAAATTCTTGAAAGGCTTGGTAAATGCTGCGAGGACTAAAGATACTCACATTCTGTATTTTGTAATGAGCTCCAGAGATATATCAATAACTAGTTGTCAAAGTGTTTACAAACTGAACAAGTCTGAACATATTTTTGTTGCAGAAAAGGTACGTGAGAGAAGGTAACTAACTAATTCCTTATTATTATCATTATTCATCGCCCCTGCGAAAATATAGAGAGACAATCTATGCAGTTTCTCAGCAAAAAACTTGTTTAGGAAGAATTCAGCTATACAATAGTCACTGACGCTGCAGTTTGCAGCAAACCAGGTGACTTACCGTTGTTTTACCTTACCGTGGGATGTAAGGTTGTACTTTATGTTTCCGAAAATGCTAGGAATCCAAAATTAAAGTTGAGTCTTACATCATAAACCATCTCAGCAAATATTGTATATAATAAGGGTAATATCGTAGGCAATTAAAGGTTATGTGACTCCAGGCAGATCGAGAGAAGCTTAATAGCGTCTCGCTGTCACAAATTTTAGACTAAACGTTTTTTGAGTGCTATTTACTTTCTTGTCAACAGAAATTGTCCACGATGCGGAGATCTTCTAGCGATGGCAAGTTAATACGTTATTGCTAAGGGCATTTGTGCACAACGTATGGAATTTTGGGCGCGGTGAAAGCTATGAACCAGTGGTGGTGGGGTGGATGGAGGGAAGGGGAGGATAGAAAAACCCCTGTCGTTTTGCCTTGTCAAGCTCTACATGTTCACCCGCGATGTGCCTACGCCTCACCTTAGGTCATCAAATAGGACAGAGCAAAGCAAAGTATCGTTGCCTGGAGAATATATTTCTGAGGTTCCCTTCTCTTCTTTCAGCAAATGACGGAAAGCTTGATTGGACGCTCCGTATAAAACTTGAACTCAGAATTAATTCATTTGATTCAGTCAATCATTTGTCAATCACTTTAATTGTATGGTTTACTGGCCTCTTTAAAAAAGGCACTTTACAGTTGAGGGTTGTTGTTTACTTCTGAATCTTGTCTCACAATGTTTGACAATAGAATCCCATTGCTGTTAAAGTAGAGGCTGATACACAATCCTTAGATATGGAGCGAACGTTTGAAGCCCCGACCTATGCATCCACGGCAAGTGCAGATTATATGCCACTTCATCCCTCAACGAGAAACTGGGAGATCAGTCGCAGACAGGTCAACATAGTTAAAGTCATTGGTAAAGGAGCTTTTTCACAAGTTGCCAAGGCGACAGTAAGAAACCTGCGTGGAAGCCAGGATAACTTGACAGTAGCAGTAAAAATGCTAAAAGGTATAGTTTAATTCAGTGTACTATAACAAGTAAATGGAGATTTGAGTAAGGTTGAGTCCAAAGGTATGTCACTACACTATACAGTTGACTCCTGATAACTCGAACCCTCGCTAACTCGAACCTCGCGCTAACTCGACGAACCAAAATCGATTTTCCCCTGGATTTCAGTCATACATTCACTGTAATTTTACTCTCGGTAACTAGAACCCTCGATAACTCGAACTCCCGCTAACTCGAACCAATTTTCGTTTCCCCTCAGGTCATTTTCTATATAATTTTACCCTCGATAACTCGAACCATGTTTTGAGCCCTTAAAGTCGGGAAAAAAGCCGTCTACGGGCGTCCGAAACATTGAATTTTGAATTTCCCAGACGTGTGGTAGGAGTACAGTTTACTAGTGGAGGCTGATGTCGATTGTCACAGGCTAACGTGAAGCAGCTTTTCTTCTCAAAACAGTAAAACGCATGCTCTATTTAGGCTATGTTTTGTTACATTACGTTCGGATTTATTATCTAGAAGTATCTTTTAATTTTCATTTGACATTTCTGCAATTAAAATTGATTAAAATGTTCACTGTGCAGTTAAAACTGTTTTTTACCTTAATCTTGGCTATTTTCTTCCAACTCACGGTAACTCGAACTCCCGATAACTCGAACCTTTTTTCGATTTCCCTTGAAGGTTCGAGTTATCGGGAGTCGACTGTACTGAACGACATCTCGTTCAGTTGGATGGTTTCGATGTAAACGAAACAAAAAAGACCAAGTGGACAGAGAACACTGAAAAAAGCTCACTACAGCAAAACGATTACCGTAACAAAGTAATGGTAAAAAAATGAGAATTTTTGGGGGGTTCTTCTTTTTAGCAAATGCTCCAGCCTCAGATAAAAAGGACCTTCTGTCAGAACTTGACGTGATGAAAAAACTAAAACCTCATCCCCACGTGATCAAGCTGTTGGGCTGCGTCACAGAAACCGGTAAGGGATGTGTGAAAAGAGTAACGTTTCAGTTTCTTGAAATTTGTGGCATGCAACTTTTCCTGGCGATTGTATACTGCCAATGATTCGAATGATAGAGCGTTTTAACTAATATGGCCAGAAGTTATAGGAACACGTTAATTAGAATAAAAGCAAACGTTTACACAACAGAAGTATTCAATTATTCCCACGGAACAAGTTTGTTACACCAACTTGGCCGCCGCTCCATTGTTTTGGAACGCAGTATGTTCTCCATGTATGCTATATCGAACAATTTAATAGGCAGAAAATATTAGAATGGATATCACTGAGTTGAACAAAGTCAGACAAAGAGAACTAATTCCACAAGTTGAAGTAGATAACTTTAATAGCTTACTTATAAACTAACAGAAACATCAGTAAATTGATTTCCAAATTAACATATGACTTGCTACATTTTTAAGTATGTTTGAAAGCAATATTGAAAGGTTTCAAAGAAAATGAAATAATGTTGAGGTTAAACCCAGTTTAAATTTATATGGACACTGAGGGGACCATAGAAAGTGTCCGTATTAACTGAGGGCTTTCTTTCCCCAGAGACAAAGCAAACTGTCCGTAATAATAAAGTTTCCGCATTTAGGGGATGTCTGTAAAGCGGGGTTTTACTGCAATTCAGGGCTTTTTATTTTCGGCCTTCACTTCTGTTCCATAAATTGCATCAAAACTGTCATGATCATACCTCCAGTTAGATTTTGTATTGTCGCAGTTCACACAATGTTCATTGAAAGGTACTAACTTCATTCGATGTCCCTTCGTGCGAACAAAATCATTAATATTTGGGGGCTCGGAGAGTAAATCGGAGAATTTTCTAATGATATGTCATAAGTGGGAACTCAGGTTTGAAGATTTTCTTATTATATTGGTTACCATAGAGCCGTTGTTGGTTTTAATTGAGTATGTTCCATACGGTGACCTACTGGGCTACTTGAGGAAGAGTCGAGGACTGAACGACACGTACTTTAAGGACCCGGATATGAAGCCACAGACCAATCTTACAGCAGAACAGTTAATGAAATTCGCTTGGCAGGTCGCAGATGGAATGTGTTACTTATCCTCAAAAAAGGTTTGCTTTGAATGTGATTTCAACTAGAAGTAATAATTGAAATTGAGAACTGATGTTGAAACTGAAAGATATATTATTGACATTTATCTAAAAGATAAACCTTTATGGAACATAAGATTGAGTACTCGAGGCTTAATTAGAAGCTAATAAGTGTTAGTCTTACAAACCTTGCCCAATTCTAAACAAAATATATGCTCAAACAATGAATATCACGTAATGAATATATAAATTTCAAATAAATCTACTAAAAAAGTTACATAAACGATGTGTCCAGAGATACCTATAATAATAATAATAATAATTCAATATTTATATTGCGCAAAATACATGTAAATATGATCAAATGCGCATTACATGAAAGTAAATTATCGACATTTATAAGTTATCCAAAATAACTAAAAATATTATATAAAAAACAATGGATCTATAAAAATATAACATGTACATAATCCTAAAAAAATCCTAATAAAAAGCTAATCTAAAAAAATGGGTCCTAAGTAAACCTTTAAACCTATGAAAATTGGGCTCATTTCGTATTTGTGATGGTAGCCCATTCCACAGTTTAGGTGCCGCAGCTAAAAAAGCACGGTCACCCAGTGTCTTTTTAGTTAAAGTTCTTGGCCTTTGAAGCATGATTCCCATTGCACACGATCTTAAATTGTCCTGTGGGTGTGAAGGGTCCGAGCTCGTTGTGTGAGTTTGTGAACAGCAGCTCATGTGGCCATTGGTACCAGTCTTTTAGATTCTGAAGCTAAGCGAGGTGCTCCACTTGCGGTCCTCGTCATATGCAATACATTGTGTGAGAGGTGTAATAGGAGCAGTCCTTGCCATACTCATAAAAGAGACTGCTCTATTAGGCGAGTATGAAAGAAACACAGAGTTTCAAAGGCGAACAAGGAGGTACAATCTCACGACATCTCGCATTAGCGCAATCAGGAGGATCTTTGTCTTGCTAATATCTTTCTCTAGCAATGACCTTTCTTCGCGGTTAGTCAAAATAGAACAAAAAAGTACCATCGCATCTTTTTTCCTCAAATTAGTACAAAACGGTTTCCTATATAGTCTCAAGCGACTACAAATTTTAAATTCAGGATGTGTAAAAAAAAAGCTTCTTCCCGTATTGGATAGGATTCCTTTTTTCTATATCAAGCGATTGTCTTCAAGGAACTGTCATGATAAAACTCAAATTAACTGGCCCCTTCAGATGAGCCCGGTTGCCGAGACAAATTTCGCCTTGGGTTCAAATGTGAAATTTAAGCCCGGTTTCCAAAATTCTTGCTGGAAAAACCGCACGTGAGATCTGGGGAACCGAGCCAGCCCACCTCTCATATGAACACATTGAAGTTAGAGGTAAATAAGCGAGATCTTGGAAACCGAGCTCATGTGAGGAGGCCCTAAGCACAGCTTTGAAAAGAATATTATTTTTATCTTGATCCGATTTTTGAAAAAGCGCTTATAAAAATGTTTTGTCATGTAGATTATCCATCGTGACTTGGCTGCAAGAAATGTTCTGGTTGGTGAAGGAGAGAATTGTAAGGTGACAGATTTTGGAATGGCAAGAGATGTGCATCAAGAAGACATCTACAACAAAACGAGTCGCGTGAGTTCAACTAAGCACACCGTTTAATTTTAAATCATGTCGGGTTTTATCACAAAATTGCGTGAGATCTGTAGTCAGGGGTTCAAATTGCTACTTTGAAATCTCAAGTATCCTTAGCAGCGTTTAAAAAGTTGCTGAGAAGGTAAAAACAATGAAAATATCGACGTAAGGGCGGAAATGAAATTTTAAAAAAATTATTATTGATGCTAATTTGATTGTTTTCTAAGGGGCGTCTGCCAGTGAAATGGACTGCTTATGAATCGTTGATGTATGGAACATACACCACACAGAGTGATGTGTAAGTATTTTTTGTATTAAAGTCAACATTTTTTTCACGTTAAGCATGTAGAATCTGTTGTCTTTTCCGATGAGTCACAAGGCTTTCGTCTGTCTCTTTTATGCCTAAAAAGAAGGCATGTTACGTTCAATAATGAAAATTCAACGATAATTATCTCAACAAAATGAAAGAGATTTAATATGTTGTGCTGCTTGTGCAGGTGGTATTCTACAAGTTCAATGGTGACTGTAGCGTTTAAAAAGCCGGTGCACGCCCCTTCTCTTCATCATTTTAGTTAGTTATTATTTCTCCTGACACTGATTGTTTTGTTCTAGCTGGAGTTACGGCGTCGTACTTTACGAGATTCTTACTGTTGGTGAGTTGGGAAAATTGTTCATTCTGATATTTTGTTGTGTACTCTATTTTTTCTTGTTTTTCATGGTTCGTAATAGACAGAACAGATACAAAATGAAACAAAAGCAAAATCCCATGTACCTTAATTTCACTAATCATATCGGAATGATTGAGCAAACAAACAAACAATGCTTGATCAGTTTTTATTACCTTTTTAAATAATATTGTGTACTGTTCTTATAAGGAACAAAACATTCTAAAACTCAGAGCAAAGGTTTACCAATTTGAATTAATATTAATTTTGTTCAAATCGCGTAAACTTCCCTTATATGTTTTCGCTAGTACAGAAAAACATTTCTTTCCGTTATGTACTCTTCTTGCTAGCATAGCTTCTTTTTTTCCAGGTGGATCTCCATATCCGGATATAAATGCCCGTAAAATCGCCCAGAAACTTCAGGAAGGATACAGAATGCCAAAACCAAGACACGTTGAGATTAAACTGTGAGTTATAATACGAGTAGGGAAAAGAAAGTTCTAAGAAATGAAAAAAATTATGAGTACGGATTCAGTTCTAAAAATCAGTAGCCATGCTAAGACTATTAGGTTTCCGTAACTGTTCCTGCGTATTCAGATCCTCAGGAATAAGTGGGGCCCCCGCTCATCCATAGCCTAAAATTAGAGGGGGACCAGCCTCGTCAAAAATATTTGTCGGCCCTCCGGGGGAGTTAAAAATAAGCGGGGTCCAGGCCCCTCCCCTAGTTCGGCTAGTGATGCATGTAGTGATGAATAATATGTTTTTCTCGATTAGCTATCAGATTATGCTTGACTGTTGGAGGGAAAACCCAGAGGATCGTCCTACGTTTGAGAGACTGAGGAACACAATGAAGGAGATGGAGGGAAATCATAAGGTAAGAAGAGTAAGGACTTTCCCTAAAAGGGAGAAACAATCATGGATACGGAAGGTTCATTTAGGGAAGAAGCTAATGATTATTCAAGGGCTGAAGCTGAGAGAGGTGTGTAGCACCTCCCTCCCTCCCTCTTATTCCATGTATGAGAGACTGATTAAACATTAAATTGGTTACTGTATTTATTTTTCATTCCGCTCGGTTTCTTCAGAAGCAGTTTATATTTACTTTAAAACATTTATCCGTTACACTACATGCCTTATTGACCAAGCTACTACAAACCGCCCGTCGACCTGGCTAGCTCATTTGGTTGAGTATCAGACTTTACAAGGCATATATAGGGTCCTAAAATAACTGATGAGAAGGTATTTACATTGTCTACATTATGTAATTAAATATTTTTATTCCGATCTCTCTCAACCAGGATTACCACGGAAAAATGTAGACCTCTCAGTTTTTCTTTTCAGTTGATCTGAATCTGTAGAATTTTAAACCACTAGGTTTGTAACAAAACGTTTGATATTATAGTGTCCACTTCTGGTGTGCCGCCGTCCTTAGTCTTGGGTTGATAATCTGAAGGGAGAGATTCCAAGATGGGGATAACTTGTCTGTCTTCCTTCAGTAATCATAAAAGTTGCCTGTAAGCTATGTTTAAGTATTAGGTGAAATGAATTGTTTTTGAGGTCGAATGTGACTGAATAAAAATCCCACCATCTCGTGCCCTTTTACGTTTTTGCATTTCTTTTATTGTTTTCGTTTTTTCAGACATATGTCAACCTGAAACAATATGACCACAGCCTTTACGCTAATGTTAACGACTTGAAAGCTATGTGACTGTACAGCTGGTACTGGGCCGAAGGATGGTGTCACAGACTGACGAATCAACCTAAATTTTGTCTATTATTACTATTAGTATTATTATTAGTAGTAGTAGTAGCAGCAGCAGCAGCAGCAGCAGCAGCAGTAGTAGTAGTAGTAGTAGTAGTAGTAGTAGTAGTAGTAGTAGTAGTAGTAGTAGTAGTAGTAGTAGTAGTAGTAGTAGTAGTAGTAGTAGTAGTAGTAGTAGTAGTAGTAGTAGTAGTAGTAGTAGTAGTAGTAGTAGTAGTAGTAGTAGTAGTAAGTAATAGTAATAAATTGCTTTATTTGCATGACCGCATCACTTTACAGTATTGCAAAAGCATGTATATGACAATCAAAATAAAAACAAAACAGCACTAATAACAATCTAGAAAAATTCGGTTACATTACTAACAATGAATCACGTATTTTCATGCAGGAGGAGACAAACTTCATAACTAACTTATTTACATGATGTTCCTTCGAATTCATTATCAGTTTTATGCTTTCCGGAGATGATTTCTTGTCAAAGTCAGGTATTATTCGATTGATTTGATTAATAAATGCCTGTCTCTGTACTGAGTATTTGTTACATTGAAAGAGGAAATGAATCTCATCTTCTACCTGATTTGAGTTACATAAAGGACATAATCTATTTTCTCTTGGCAAATGATCGATTTGGTATCGACCATGTTCAATCATAAGTTTGTGATTACTTATTTTAAATTTAACAAAATTCTGTCGTTCGTCATAATGTCTTAGCTGGTAGAGATAATCAGATGTAGAATATTCATCTTTAAAAGTTTTATAAAATTCTAGTTTTTTTGAATTTTCGAGGCTGTGCCGCCAAAAAGATAGATATTTCTCTCTCATTTCTGTGGTATATCGTCTAATTTTATTATTATCTAGAGATTCAGCATCTAAACTGGTTAGATTGTATTGTTCAAGCATGTTTATGAAATTGGAAAAATATCCGGAATTATTCATAGAATGTAGATTCTTTGACATAAGGAAAGACTGTTTGACTATAGAGTCATTATCTTTGTTGTTGAGGTAAACAAAATATTTCATAATTTTCTGATTTATCGGGATAAGCAGCGGCAGTCTATCAAGTTCAGCTCTGCAGGCTATGTTAGAGGCCTTATTGTTAACCTCTAAGTAACGTTTACAGAATTTGAGGTGGATTTTTTCTATTGGGGAGCTATCCCATTTTTTAAAATCTTGCTTGGTGTACATTCCCCATACCTCGCTGTTGTAACTCAAGATTGGGAATACCATGGTGTCAAAAATTTGGGATGCAGTATTAGGATTAAGTTTGTTAAGAATTGTCCGCTTCCGAATACTAGAAAACGCGTGAAGGGCCTTTTCTTTTAAGTGTTCGAGTGCAAGTGTAAAGTTTCCCGTTGGAGTTAAACGTGTACCTAAATAAGTGTATTCTTGGACAATTTCAATTGACTCACTGCCTATGTTGAATTTGATGTCAATAGATTTTTTTGGGGCGTTTCTGGAATATCATAATTTTTGTTTTCTTCGGATTAATTTTTAGCTTCCATTTGTCACAATACAAAGAAAGCGCATTTAAACAGTTCTGTAATCCAGTTTTCGATCTTGATAGAATAACTAAATCATCTGCGTACAAAAGTGAATTTATTTTTTTCCCATTTGGGAGAACAAATGGGTCAGATAAGGTGTTTTCGAATAAAAGTGGTAGATTGTTTAAATAGAGGTTAAATAAAAGAGGACTTAAAATACAGCCTTGACGTACACCTCTGGAATATGAAAAAGGCTGTGTTTTGTTTTCACCGATTTTGATGGAACATGTCGAGTTGCAATAAAGACTTTTCATGAGGTTGTACAAGTTTCCTCCTATATTCGTTTTTAGCAGCTTATAAAACAATCCTTCGTGCCAAACAGAGTCAAACGCTTTGCGGAAATCTACGAAACAAGCGTAGACTTTTTCCTTGTGATAATGCACATATTTATCTATTAGGGTCCTTAGAGTGAAAACATGGTCTGCAGTGCGGTTTTCAGGCAAAAAGCCAATTTGGGAATTATGTAATATCTTATTTTCCTCAAAATACAAGTGAAGTCTTCGATTTAAAATAGAACAGAACAGTTTTCCAAGGCAACTAGAAACACATATGCCTCTGTAATTTGTTGGATCACTCTTGTCACCAGATTTGTAAATTGGGGTTATGAGGCCTTGACACCAAACATCTGGCATTTTTCCGGATTGTAAAATGAGGTTAAAAAGTTTGACATAGACAGGCATTAGTGGTTCGAGGCTTGCTTTGATCATTTCATTTCGTATTTTGTCAACAAATGGTGGTTTCTTATTTTTCAATTTCTTCGCCGCTTGACGTATTTCCCTCTCAGTTATCTCATAATCGAGATGGTTAAACTGTTCCTTTTCGTGTTCTAAAGAATTTAGTTCCCTATGGATTTCATGTTCATGCGTGGAATTCGTCGGGTCAATAGAATGCAGAGATTTGAAATGGTGAAGCCATGATTCTTCCGAGATTGGGGCAGGAACATTTTCGTTGAAAGTGTCGCTCATCGAATTTAAACAATTCCAAAATGACGCCTTGTCAGGATTTAAAGCTAGTTCGTCGAGTTGTAATGTTTTTTCTTTGTGGAATCCTCTCTTCTTTGTGCCTAGGAGCTTTTTGTAATCATTCAAGGTTTTGTGATATCTTTCCCGCACTTCGGAGTTGAGGGGGTCACGGTGCTTTTCATTTGAGACTTTTCGTAATTCATGCCTTTTTAATCGACATTCACAGTCGAACCATTTCTTGTTGGATGATTTCTTAATACGCTTATAAGTTTTCTTAGCTTTAATTTTTAGGCATAGCTTGGAGCTCTCAGTTAGAATTTTCATAGCGTTTTCTAAGGAGATATTCACATCTTCGGTGTTTCTCTCCATATATTGTCTAATTAGAATTTGGATTGGTTCCGTGCGCAGTGCGTTTTTGAATTTTAAATGTGAGTCAACTTCCCAGCAAAATTGCCGTGGTAATTTTGATAATCTATTGCTACTATTTGGAGTGTGCATTTCGTCTCCAATTAACCTGGTGTTAAGATTGAGCCATGCCACGATGGCACTATGATCCGATAAATAAGATGGCTGTTTAACAACAAAATTTGCAACGTTGAGAAATGTACACTGATCACATATTAGATAATCAATAACGCTCGTTCCGTTTTTTCCATGAAAAGTGGGTCTGCCTAGGGTATCTCCATTAACTCTGCCATTAACTATTCTTAGGTCAAAGGTTTTACAAATTTCCAAATTTAGTAGTAGTAGTAGTAGTAGTAGTAGTAGTAGTAGTAGTAGTAGTAGTAGTAGTAGTAGTAGTAGTAGTATAAGTAATAGCATGATTTGTAATGATATTGGGCATAAATACCACGAGTGATATTTCGAAATTGTTACACGTAATTTGAGACAATTTAGAAATATCACAAGTGGTATTTAAGCCAAATATCACATAGAAATCATGCTATTATTAGTTTATAGTACTACCCAGAAAAGGTTTGTAATTTTCACATGTAGATATTTCAAACTAAGCTGAAATACCACTGCTCTAAGCCAATCAAATTGCAGAAATTCCTCATGTAGTAGTATAACTATTATTAGTATGTACACACTCAGTGATCTTGGTAATTCAAGCAATCTGATTGGTTAGCTGTCTCGGACTATGACGTTATATATATTCACCGCTCTAGGCGGTGAATATAAAGCAGAACAAAATCGCTGTCGGAAACTGGGTGTTTTGCCAAAGTTTCATAGTAAAGCCTTTTTGAAAATACACAAATATCCAAGTGCTGATGGCTTTGAAGGCAAGAAAAGACTTCATGGTGTTTAAACAGCGTGATTTATTGTGAAGCGGTTTACTTTAGCTGACTTTTTGTACGCTCGAAGCTATGTTTACCACAACAGAGGAAAACAAGGTCGCTTTGTCACTGTTTTTTGATTTCGGGATTTTCTCGCAAGACCAATTTTGCCTATAAATAGAAGTTAATTTATGGAGAAAAGAGGAAGGCAAATATTTTCAAAAATTGTACGTGCCAGCAAGTTAACAAGGCAAAGAACATTGGAGAAAAACAACGCTCACCTTGATCGTAGCCGCTGTTGACAGCATTTGCAAGAGGCGACAAAGGAAAACTGTCTCATTCACGGTGAGTTGACAGAAACAAATAAACTAAAGCTCTACTTTTCTTCTTAGAATTGGGTAGTAATTTAAATTTTCGGCGTTTTCTTTTAAACCGTTGATGCTAAAGCTTACAAAACTCGATGCAAAAAGATTAAAACTATCATCATTTGCCATGTTTGAAGATACTGTAAAGATCTAACTTTTGCGCATCCACTGTTTACGGCTTCGTGTTCACGCATGAATTCACCCGTCAATCAAACTAATCGTTTTTTAATGGTTTCCTTTCTGATTCTGTTGAGATCACTTCGTGTGAATATATTAAAACTTCGTCTCGGGGATGATTCAACAATATTAACTTCGCCTTCGGCGAATAATTGTTGATTATTGTTATTATTGGTAGTAGTAGTTGTGAATAATAGTAAACGGAGGGTCGTGAAGGGGGGTACGTAGTCAGCATTATTATTATTATTATTATCATTATTATTTTTGCATCACTCTTCACTTTGAAACAAAGGGAAGACCACGATGTGAAACAAAACAACTGAAACACAATTTCAATAGCTTTCATTTTTTAAATATCGTATACCCTAAACAGTAAGGAAAATACGATTCACGTGCATGACTTTATTGGCTTGTGTTCGTCGGTTGTCCTAAGAAAGTCCAGTGTCCATTCAGAGGGTGCCGTAGTCAGAATAAAGTGATATCTGGTACGGTTGAAATAATAATAATAATAATGAAAACATTGCTGCAATATTTCAGAAACTACATGACCTGTCTACTTAACCCTGAATTTATGAAAGGAAGAGTTCCGCGTGACTTAAATTTGAATAAATTTTTACATATCTTGCCAATGTAGTTGTATTACTGGATTCATGCTACCAGAGAGTTAGTATTCAAAATTAAAACAAACTATTGAACATTATTGATGTGGATTATCGCTCAATGCCAGCGAGTAACAGAACATTGAAAGCAGGTACTTGGTATCTGCATGTTGCTCAAATGAGTGGAGTCAAATTCAGTCGGTAATCATAGATACAAGTGATCCTAAACAGAACAGCGTTCGTCCATCCATCTTGGGATGAAGTATTAACATGGTTACAAAGTGACGTACGTTGAAAGTCTCAATGTCCTTCACTTCCCATTTCCGGTTCCGGTAGTAACTCTGGTTTGGCCACAGGAATTTTTCAATGAAGTTGTTATAATACACAAACATATTTATTACCTACAATTAACAATAATTAATTAACTTCTACACGTTTGCGAACTGACCAGAGACGTTTGCGAAATGACCGTTGGCGAAACGACCGGTTACCAATATGAGCTTACAACATACAGCTGTACATATCATACCTGAATAAACATATAGTCACACTTCATAACGTTTCACTTCGTTTATTACGATCAGTCAACACCTTGAATTCCAAGGTAAAATTCAAAACAATCCTAATTAACAAATCACAACTACTACTGAAAGGTCTGTACCTTGAAGCCACCTGAACTTTCCTGAGGTTTGCAGCAAAACACTGCTCGATAGCTCAACTCTTCGGCGGTTCTCAATTATGAGCTATACGCAGCTAAATGTTGCATATTCCAAACTCTGCAGAGGGAATTATTTAACAGAAAAAGAAAACCACACGCTATGTCTGAAAAGCGACATAAAACCGAAAAATTTGCGATTTACCAATGCAAAATCAAGAGACTATGAAGGGGACAGAGAGGGCATCCCCCATATACACCCTATTCCATAGGTAATTCGTCTCGAGTTATTTTTAGAATCGGAATAAAGTTACCTCGCGCGAGGCGTGGATGTTTCGTGGACGTTTCCCATGACCAAACGCCGTGCAAAACATGTCGGGCGAGAGGCAATGAAAGCGTAAAAAGATCGAGAGCATTCCAGAATATTGAAGCGAAATGAGTCGGCGCTCACCTGGGAAAAAGGAATCGCTGGACTCTTTGACAACCCGTGAAATCAGTTTAACTCGAAGTTGTCGTAACCTCAGTGCTTTAATAAAATGAGAAATTTCGCCGGTCTATTGAAACCGGTCGTTTGTACAATTTAGGGAGTTTAAGATCCAACGACGCGGACGACAACTAGAACGTCAAAAAAACAATAGGTTTAATTAGCAAAACAACAACTTCGCAAGTGCAACACACTTTTTTGTTCATTTCTTTCCCGTTTTTGCACGACGACGACATGAAAATGCCTAATTTCGCGTTTTATGGAGGACGTAAATAAGCAACGACGAAATTTTATTTCTCTTTCTGAGCTTGAATATGGTCCCTTGAAATTCAGCTTTAGGAGGGTTCGCCTACAATTGACAAAGTAAGTGGGTAGGAATAATCGCTATAAAGACTGAAAAAAATAAACATCAAACCAGAAATTGCTCTCTTCAAACTGTAAATTATAAATGATCCTGAGAGAATATTCAGTGTGTTAAGGATTTCCCTGCTCTACTGTTAGCTCTATACAAGAGAGGAAGGGCGATTCTCTTTTAATTTCGGTTTCGCTGACACAGCTTTCGCAGAAATCTCGCTGTAGTCGTTTTCGTCGACAAAAGGAATAGCAAAATCCCTCTCCGCGTCTTCCCCATTTTGTTCTGCGTCATTTCGTGAAGGACGCGTGGCTCTCAGCGTGGGTCATCCACGCGGAACACATTCGCGCTATGTGATTGGCTGTTGTCTAATCCCCCTTGAGATCTGTGGTGTTAAAAATAACTCGAGACGAATTACCTATGGAATAGGGTGTGTATGGGGGATGCCCTCTCTGTCCCCTTTATAGTCTCTTGCCAAAATGTAATAGTGAGAAACAGTCCCACCTTGGGCCGAAATGATTTTGTTTCTTTTCAAAACCGTTGAATCTATGGTTTTTGACGTAATGCGCATGATCAGTACACAAATCCGCTGGCAAGACCCTTGTTGATCGCTTTTCAAGTTGTGAGAACATCGTTTGGATTTTGAATGTATGGGAAGTAGCTTCCCCCCACCCTCCCCCCCCCGGCCATGGTTTTCAGCAAACCACGATTTGATTTTGTACGCAAAACAACAATAAAAAAGTTAAAATATATATATATATATATTCCAAAAACCCGAACACAGTAAAAAGTACGTCTTTCTGTCTAAATGTATTGAAAAAAAAAACAGAAAAATACTGTCAACAAAGTCGAGGAAAATGAGCCAAGGAAACTAAACAATCTACTTATAACAGACTACGCTAAAGTAAAAAATAAAGAACAAAAACGGTGGCAACCACACGCAAGCCAGAACAGCTACACCTTTCAGGCATTGAAATGAACAAGGATACATTCACGTTTTCCATGATAACAACAGGGATTTCAAGTCACGTACGTTATTTGTTGGAGGAGAAAAGTGTCCGGTTGCTCTCTTTAAGTCTTTTGTCGGGCGAAGACCTCTATTAAAACATTCATGCGATGGTCTGTTTTTTTTTTTCTACCTCAGTAGCAAACGAAACCGAACATTTAAACATTTGGTTCAAACTAAACCAATGGGCGAAAATATCATAACTATCATAATGAAAGTATCCGTAGCTGGTACTAGCCTTAAGAAAGTGCGAAAAAAGTTTAGGAATCGTCGTGCAAGAAAAACAACAGTGAGCAAGCTGAAGAAAGCAATGATTGTAAGTTCAGGCCACAGAGGTATAAATTTCCTCAACGACTACGATGAAGCCAACGAAGAAGAGCGACAATGACTCTCTCTTGCAAATGATAGGCCAAATGGAATAATGAAAAACCCAGCGCCGAGAAAAAGCAAATATTACATTAATACCTTGCAGTTTCCGACTTCACAACAACTGTGGCTCTACTCACCCATCGATGACTGCGTCGAAAGAAAACAAATTGCCTCCTTCATTTTCGGGTTTTAAATCTCAAAAATTTCTCCCTGAATCCAGCTATGATGGGGTCTCAGGAACAGACAATGATGAATTAAACAACTCAGCAAGTGTCTTTTATCTTTGGCTGCTCGAAGCGTTCTCCTGTTTTCAAAACGGCAATATACTTCTTGTAAATGCTTCTTGTAAACGCCGAACTCTCATAATCAAACACTCACTTTTGCTAATTATTGTAAACCGAGTTATCTTTAACAGGCTGGTGACCATGTAAAATCAATCCTTGCATATTTCCGAGTCAGCTGAATGATTTTGAAAGCGTTGGTCTTGAAAAAGTTTGAATTTGACAAAGATAATTGTCTGTTTCAGCCAATCAGCTGAATGAACTAAAAACGCGCGCGCTGTCAAAATTTGTTGTTGTAGTAACGTTTCGATGTCTCCATGGGTAATTTCACTAGCCAAAATTTTTTCCTCTAATTAAGTTTGTTCACATAAAATCTTCTCAATAAGACAGTTGACGGCTTGTCCGAAAACGCTGTTTTCACCAGATTTCCAGTTGCGGAACTTAAAAGCCCGTGATCTTTCCAGAATTGACCAAACGCCGTCTCACTCTCGAACTTTTCGCCAGGACCATGTAGAGGCTTCTTTGAAAGGTTGACCGTGACAAGAACGCACGGGATTGATGGATAAGCTTTTAGACTATTTGTTCTTTACATCTTTCAACCATTTCTGAACTCTATCCAGGGATAAAGCGCCGGTCGGATCCCAGAATACTAATGCCCCTTGACTGTTCCTACAACATATATTTAACAATTATTTCACGAGGGCGCGTTGGATATGGGATGATAGATAGCCAACGAGGCGCGTAGCGCCGAGTTGGCTATAATCACCTCATATCCAACAAGCGCGAGTGGAATAATTGTTTTATTAAAAACGCCCACAAAATCTCGTTGAATCTCCTCGACTAGAACAAACCGGAAAAGACAAGGGGCTTCCGCTACTCACATGTGACACGTCTATCAAAACTGTCAACGCGCGAACGGACTCGCCCGGATTGCATTAATGAAAAATCAAAACATTGTAGCGATGAACATTAGTTTTTTAAAAACTCATCGGGATTCTAGGATTTTACACAGCAGAACAGCTAAAAAACCTGGCAAATAATGTGAAGGAAAAGAATTTTTAAGTGGCAGCCGTCGAAATTACTGTGAATTTGGATTTTCGGTGCAGTTATAAAAGTAAGAACAACGGAGAAAAACTTTATTACCTCGGTCGCTTGTTATGAAGTTGTTTGAAGCCACAAGCTGGTTTTGCTGAACGAGAAAAGAAGCTATACTGCCGCCTCGATTGCTCTAGTGAATGGCTGCATAGCCTGTATTTGTAGCTGGTTATTTGTGATTTATATTCTTGATGTCGGATAAACAAGCCGCAGTTATCTATCGGCGAGTGACTCGCTCGGCGAATGGCTTCGCAATCATGAAGAAACAACACTTGTCTTCTTTCGTACCCGGTCAAGGTACTTTAGTTCCATGTGTTTTCATGTGTTTTTCGACAAACTTGTGTTCTTGTGGCTTTTTTGTTTGTTTTCGTCTTTTTTCTTTCGATGAAATTGCATTTCTAGTATTCTAAGAAATGAATTAAAACGATTTGCTTCGGACCATTACGGAATCGCGCCTGTAGATACGCGTCGCTAGTAAATGCAAATTTTTCTGTCAATCAAATGTGTCCTATTATTTGTAGGTGGAAATTGGTAAAACATCGTTATTGTTTTGGAGACAATAGAAGAACAAAAGATAACAGAAAGATCAAGTTATTCGGTCTTAAAGCGTGTTGCGTGACTTAAATCAGTTGGAGCATTTCTCCCAGCTTTCCCGCATTAAAACGTTGGAATGAAAAGTCTAAACCTTAGCTTTTAAAATCTTGATAGCCAAAATAAAAGGGGTGCCCCAAAAGGGAAGCATTTGGGAATTCAAAATCGATATTTTTGTCTCCAGCGAAATCCGACGGATGAACAGTAATTTGCATATAAGCGTAAGTGAAGCGAAATAGATACAAATTGCCGTGGTTGTAAACACAACGTTTCCTCGAAGTTTTTTTCCTTTTGAAAGCGTAAATTCGCATGAAAGAGCTCAGCTTACACAAAATAATATAAAATGAAACGAATCAAATCGAAAAGTGGTAAAAAAAAGTCAGGATATTTCAATTCGATGGAAAGTAAGTGATTGGGTAGGTGATTTGCATACTGATAAAAATAACGTCTAGCGCAGTTCAAAACCGTTCGGCTTCCTGAATTGTTTTCCTGGAATTCTATACATTCTGCTCGCCTAAATCGTTAAAATATGTTATGAAGTCAAAATATTTATCAAGTTGAGCGTTTGCATTTCCTTATAAAACAGAGAGTAGCGCGAAAGATTCGATCTATAGATTTTCTTAAGTTAAATTCTCTTTGTATCGTGGAGACAATACCCTAACACTTGAGTCTTGAATCAAAGGACGCGACATGCGTCGGCTCCTTTTGTGAGCGCGCAAATAGTCATGGGACCCGCGATTTTGCGGGCGACACGGATCTACAGGCGCCGTTCCGTAATGGCCATTCTATCCTTCGCGAAAAAAAGTCTCAGTTAGCTTCCAATTTTAAACTGACGCGTACACCGACCATATATGGAGAGCATGGTATAATAGCTCATATACCATAACGGCTAAGCCAATCAAAATGTTAGAATTGCATTATCCAATGATTCAGTTTTTAATAATTAATAATATACGCTCACCTTCAGCCATCTCCCAAAATTGTAGTTTCATGGTAATTGAAGGATTGTGATCGTCGCCCTTTTTACATTTTATGGTTTTTACGTGAAAGTCGCAACCGATTAAAAGAGGCGGATAATAGCCGATCCGTGCAGGTTGTGTGACTTGCAGATAATCCTTGATAAGCTCCCCTTTTCTTCCCACTCCAAACATGTAGCCCCCGAGGCAAATAATTTTTATAACCAACGCTTGATCTTTATCACATTCTAACGTCGGGAGAACATTTGTTTTAAAGGTCTTCATTTCTACTTCCTCTCCAAAATTGCTCAGTATGCTGGCGTCAGCTTGTTCGGGTAATTCATACTTTGTAGCCATGGTAGATCAGGTAGAGAAAAGCAGCAATTCTTTATATTTCGGTCGATCGATTTCCGCATAGGTTCATGTACTGACGGCCTTGAGCGATTTTGAATCCGTCCACGAGGAAGCTACAACTTTAACCTCGTGTTCACAAGTTTAAGGCGTATGCCGTACCATTGTGTTGAAATTGTCCTTTCGACGTCCTTGTGGATTACGCGTATCGTAAGGCGGAAACAAGTTATTGTGGGCACTGCGATATGCAAATGTATCACTCCGATGTAGACGCCGTTCGTAATTAGTCGGCTTCGCACGAAAGCGCCCGATATCAAAACGACAATTGTCAGGCTCAACTGTCGTAGATCGATCGTTCCCCTTCCGCGATCAAGAAGTGCTGAGCGTGCATTGTGCCCAGAGCTTTTGATGTTTTGATTTTGTACCTTTCACAGGAAGATAAGTTGTCCTCATGCCAAATTTGAGACAGAAGTTTATGAACGTGTGAAGCTTTTTGATTCGTCCAGGCGATAAACACGAGGAAAAGATCAGTAATTGCTTTTCGACTCCCACTGGTCCAAGCTCACGATTCTGCTGTTAGTCTCACGATCTTTTTAATATTTCTCACGACAAGACTCCCGATCTCATGGTTTTTAGACTTCGTGACGGTTCTGCGAGACACTTGTCGGCCATATGTTCTTCAAATGCGATGAAATGAGTTAAAGTAGGGCTTTTACCGTCAAAACCTTGCTTGTTTTCCTCGAATGTATCTTTCCATTCTTCATAAATAAAGCTCTACCAGCTTCAAGCGGCGTCCATCGGCAGAATCTTATATGCACTAGTCAACTGCATCCCCGACCCCCCCCCCCCCCGCATAGTGGGGATTTTACGGAACAAATACGTTAATTTTACCGCATATCAAACTCATTGCCCACATATGAGGACATTTGCTCTTCAGTGATCATTACATGGAGTGTATGCTACAGCGCGTGCGCAAAGGTATCGTGTTTCACCATAGTTTCCATGTCTCAAACCGCTCTTGGATACCTTGTGATGCCTACACAAAGTAATTGCATATATGTATACATATATGAATGAGCCCTGACTATAGTGATCAGGGTTAACCACTAACAATACTGATTAGGGTTAAGCACTGACCATACTGATTAGGGTTAATTAAGCACTTAGAATAGTGATTAGGGTAAACGGTTAGCTTCTATTTAGGGTTAGGGTTTTCGCTATTAAATTACTCCAACGTCCTGCAGCGAATCCTCGGTGGTCTAGTGGTTAGGGTAGGAGACTGCAGATTTCGCATTCCCGGATCGATTCCTGCTCGTGACTCGAAATCTTTTATGTCCTTTAAACTTGAAGAGACTTGCACTTTGACGACATTTGTTGAGCAGAAACTAAGTCTCTGAGTCAAGAAACTTAGAAATTTCATGTAAGTGTAAGTGAAAAGGGAGAGGGCGGTTTGGGCACACATAAACATGGACGATCGACCGAAGCGAATGTCATGTCCTCCACGGAGTTTTGTGGAAGAAATGGGGCAGCTTCGCGAAAAAAACGATGGAGAAAGTGGAACGAAAACGCAAAACAGACAGGGATTTGTATGATGTTGCGGTTATTGAAGTGGATACGACGCGAAAACAGCTAAAAATTCATTTCGTGGGATTCAGGTCACGAATAGATGAGTGGCGTGATTACGACAGTGAAAGGAATTACTTTCCCTTCGTTCGCTTGGAAAAAATGTTTTTCCCCGCGGAAGGTCCGCTGGAGGATAGAGGCAACATTTTTCACGGGCGATTGTATTGTTGCATCAAGAGAAAGTTGTGGTCCGGCAGAAAAGAAGACCCCGAGGTGCGCGCAGAATTAAATGTGGAGCCTTTGAAATGGTATACATTAAAAAGCTGCGGGAATAAATAGAAGAAACAAGGAATTATTCCATATCCGAAAATTTGGAAATCGAACTGTTTGAAAATATAATTAAGATCCTATTAAAATATCTAACATCATTTCAAATTACTTACTTGTTAATCTCGTAAGTATACGAAGGACCGTTCTGCTGGCTGAATTTCTCACCATTTTCGCCTTGAAGATTATCTTCAAATGTAGAAACCGTCACGGTACAAGCGAAGGGAAGAAAGACAGCAAGATGGACCTACGAAGTCATTTTGCCCCACCAAATATTTCGGGAATAAATGCCAACAAATTACATATCAAAACACGGCAAATTAATTCAACTCTTTGAATTTGGCGGTGCATTTATTATTCCGAGCATGCGCTGTTGAGCCAGTCCAGTTTTTCTCGACCCTCTGCTTTGAAGACCGGTCACGCTTTTGTAAATTTACATCTAAACCGACGGAAAAAAAAATATAGCACTTAGCTCAATACCGGTGGTGCATTTGTGGTAGATCTCTTACTTTGAGAAAGAAAGGCAATATTCTGCAGAAAATGGCGTGTTTCAGCTCTATTTTACCGGAAGTTGCGGCCGCCCGGTGTGAAACGTCGCAATGAGTTTGATAAACAAAAAAATTCCGATTTATTCCCGACATATTTGGCAATCTTCTTAAATGCATAGAAAATGATCTTCACGTGCGACGCACTAGGGAAATTATAAAAGGGAATCTCCAATCTTTTCATATCTATCCCTAATGCATTACTTTTTTTGTTTAACTCATTGTACAAGAAGTGACATCCATCAAGGATTCTTACCAGCAAAGATGGCAACGGAGGTTCTTAACTCAATTGAAAATGTTAAGTGTAACGAGGTGGGAGGTGCAATGTATGCGTTTCCGAGGATAGCACTTCCAAGGTATCATGTGTACTGTCGCAATTTGTAATAATCATCGCACTTTGTAATACCTGTCGCAATTTGTAATAAATCCATCGCACTTTGTAATACCTGTCGCAATTTGTAATATATCGTGTCGCACTTTGTAATAAAAAAGCTGTCGCAATTTCTAATAATTCCATCGCACTTTGTAATAACTTTTTGAGAGTAATTGAACTTACTTCGTCAACATTAATATAATGCCAAAATATGCATGGTACTTCATAAACAAAGATGATGACGTCTGCTGGCACGTAACACCTCCGGTCATTCAAACATTTAACTTTATTCACAGTCCTAAACATTTTTTTCAGATTAATGTTGATTAGTTATCTGACTTACGAAATGCTGTACTCTTAAACCTTGCTATTGTACTAGGTGGTTTTCATTCAGTGGTTACCCGGCGGGTGTACTTCCTTATATGGCCAATACGGGGATGTGCCTCTAGACAGAGCATTGTCAGAGTACAGGATCTAGACAGAGCTAGACACACTAGACACAAACGAACCATTATTAAAAAGCATTTAATTTCCGCAAATCGTAACATCCATCCTACATCATTCGAATAAGGACACCACGAGAGTTCAAGCTTTCCTTGTTAGATCTTATAACAGGTCGATACAACACGTTGTGCACCGTCCTTGTCTAACGCGCAATCTTAAAGAAGTAATAGTGGCTTCCATATTTTGGCCAACTTAATCAAACGAGGCCTGGAAAGATTCAAAATGTTTACTGCAAATAAAAAAAAAACGTCACCAGTGGCAAACCGTTGAACCACAACAGAAACCTAAAAACAAAATCCAATTAGTCGCTGGCCAATACCTTCGTATGTACCTGTTTTTATAACACTCACTTGGGGTCTCACACTGAGCCGGCTGGGCATTTGGCCCATTATTCTCACTTGATTTGGTCCCATATAGGATCAAAAGGAGTACTCATTCCATCTTAAAACAATTGTTTTCTATAAGGAGTCCTCTAAAGCAAATACCATGGGGCCGGGATAGTAAAAAATTATCCTTCCCTTTCTGCTCTTTCGAGCGTGTCCATCTTTTTAACAGCCGGGGCCTGCTGCATTATATAAGAGGCCCGGAATCTCGCTAACGATTGGAATCTGGAATCCACGTTTCACTGAAAAGGAATACGGAATCCAGTCCCTGCCATCGGGGATCTACAGCATAAAATCCGGAATCCACAACGTACGATCCAGAAGCCAAGATTCTCGTCACGTTTTCACAAAAGGAGTTTTTCGATTAGAAAAAGTGAAAAGGAGGCTATAGGCTCCTATACTATTCAAGCTGCTGATAATGTCCCGCGAAATTTAAAATTTCACTTTCTCAACTTTCCATACTGCATTACTGAATTCCATGTCGTATTGGTCTAGTACCAGCTCCCAGTCAAGGCTTCATCGAGGGATTCTTTGAAATATAGATATTCCCCTCACAAGGAAAGTATGTATGTGGTCTGTTTGGTGAGCAAAGTGAAAGGATTTTGGGTGGTCAAAAGTAATGTGTAGATATTTTTTGAGTTTACTGAGTTGTTTGTATTGCCATTGTTATTTAGGCCAAGGAAATGCCACCAGACGAGTTTTACTGTTGGCAGGCGCTGGAGAAAACTGTAATTTACATGATTCCTGGCCACGTTTTTGATGTGAAAGGCAGCGGTAACAACTTTTACTACAGGTAAGATTTGAATTAACAAGGGCTATCAACTTCCGGTTGGAGTTTTAATTTGATGATTTTAAAAACCTCTTTGTGATATCATTTGCGCCCTTATGTCACAAGGTTTTCACAGGCTTGTCTAATATATTTAGATTGATTAGATTGACTGCAACTTTAAATTTGAAAAGACCCCTCCCCGAAAAATTCTTCCTTTGTACCACAGGAACACCAAATTAGGATGCGTTCTGACGAACGCAATAAGGGTATACACAGATCGTCTCATAGCCGGGGCGATTGGGGCTTAGTGGAGGGCCTGCAACTGGAATGAAGTTGGTGTTTACAAATAGAAGGGCTTACAACCGGGATTATACGGTATGGACCAGAGCTTAAACTTACGTGGGAAAAGGCGTCCTAAAAGCGACTTGTCTGTAAAAGCGACATTCTGTCAGCGTGTGAAAGTCTGATGAAATTGGACTAAGTTTTATCTCCACATTATGGGTTAAAATAATCCAAAACGTTTTGATTTTTCAGACCCACTATCCAAACGAAGGAAATAACTTAAAACGGTTTCATGTTTTAATCTTTCTTGGTAGGATCACTATTCTTCCTTCTGAAGAGACGTTTGCTCCAATGTTTGAGCGACCTAAGAACCTTTCACCAAGAATTCATGGCGCAGACAAGAAAAGATGGATTTACTGGATTAGTTTCCAGTGATGACAATATTCAGTCCAGACTATTTGATATGTCTCCATCGTCATTTATCAGGGGAAAGTTTTCTGATGTAAAATATACGTTTGGAGAAGCAAAACTCTTGTTTACAAATTTCTATTTCTCGAGAAAGGCTAAAAAGTTTTGATGACTCTTCATTTATCTAAGATTTTCAAAGTTTCTCAATTAACTTTCCTTCCCAGATTTGGCTATATATAATATCTCTTCAAAAAAAGACCCTGAAATGTTCAACAGTGGCAGAAAGAGTCTTGAATGTATCTGGCAAGCTGTACATGTCCTTAACCACACAACGAGGAAAAACAACATTCTTATAATCCTCCCCTAAAATTGGCGTGAAAAAAAGACACTTTTAACAATCTTCTGACTTTTCCCATCTTTAGGACACTGAAGTGTACTTTTCCCATTTCAGCGTTTTTCCGGCCCATTCCTTGTGATATTCCAGACACAGATAAGAACCTAAAGAAATCCTGTTTATGTAAATAGCAACTTTATTGAAGTTTCTTAAAATGCTGATTTTAATAACAAATCGCATTATTTAAGTTGTAAAATAACAAATTAAGAACTAAACAGCTTCTGCGCTTAATGTACATAATGGATATATTTCATAGTTTTGCGACCACAGTCATAATGACTTACTCTAAACAAGGAAATGTAAAGGATATCTTTTTATTTTGGAAGCATACTAAACGTAACGAAAAGATAAACGAGACTAACCGGTCCTATATTTAGTTGTAGTATTTGACGAAATACTGTGGTTCAACTCATCAATGGTTTAGATTTTGTTTTCCTTTGTGTTGCGGTATGGTTATGTACGATTGAGAATCAGAGTTTAAAACAAAGGAAAAAAGTATTTGAACCAAGGGAAAAAATGCACCACAACATTTATTTACAGCCTTTTTATCGAACTTTAAAGGCCGTAATAATAGTATACAATGATCAACTCCTGTTTTTTTTTTTTTATGAGGATGACGAAATCATTAGTTGGCTTCCAAGTATTAAACAAAGTACATTAAAGCGCATGAAGAGTGATATCTGGGGTAATTTGTCTTCGTTGACATTTAAATAACAACAGGAGAGCTTTCCTAAACTCTGGCATTCTGATTGTGTAAACGATGGGATTAACAAGCGAGTTCATAAAATATAGAATGGATAAAGAAAACCGCAAACGTAAAAATTCCTGGAAAGAAAGGACTTTCGTGATACTAGTTTGAAAGTAAAGAAAAATGTAAACCGCATATGGTAGCCACATCAGTAAGGATACGATAGTCATTATGAATAATGTTACGGTCAGTTTCCTTTGTCTGTTGGCTGCACCATGGTGCTGAGGATGCGCTCCACACAAAAATTTAACAACAATAGAAGAGTAAGAAACACAGATAACTAAAAGACACAAACAACAGTATGATTGCCATAGATACAACCATAATTTCTTCCCATATACCCCAAGTATAAAAGAAGCAGTTGATACCATTGCAGCTAAAACCCAGACACCAGCAATTGTTACCCCGTAGACCCACTTTTTGATGAGGCGATGCCTGAAGGGACGAATTGTTGCATGCATCCGATCTAATGAAATCACTGCAATGTTTGTTAGAGAGGTCAGAGGAAACCAGAGGTAGAGAAAGAAAATTATCACAGCCATTTCCAGGCTCACGTTCATTTCCACAATGTCGCATGAGTATAGTGAGTAGAGTACAATTAGATTAAAGTGAGCAAATCCTCCGACAAACATATCAGCTATGGTCAGGTTTATAACTAGGTACATGGCACGAGTGCGAAGACTGCGGTTTTTTATAAAAAGAATGATTGATAGAAGGTTCACTGTTACTATAGCAACACACACGGTAAGGGTTACAGCAAACCAGGTGATGCACTCAGATGAAGACAATGGCATGACTTGTTTTCTTTTGCTCCTTTTCGCTTCACACTTTTACCCGTTCTCTTCTGTTGTTCGTCTACCTGAAGAAAGAATTTGAATTGAATAAAGTTTGATTACTCAGAAAAGAAAAGTAGGAGGTGAACAAGCAAGGTTGACGTCTGTTTTTCAGAGATCAGTAATGAAGAGACATGAATAATATTTCCACGAATTAGGAAGCTCACCTTTAACTTACAGTTTTTCAAATTGCCTTCACAAAAGCTGAAGTGAAAACCCTTGTTTTCACCTGTGGAAAAAAATAGCAGTGACGTTTGAGGGGAGATTAGGATAAACTGGTTGACTAAAAGCTGAGGGCATTAAATTTCGTTTCAGCTGAATATTTTTAAAACTAATTAACGTCAGCGCTCCTTCACATAATAATAATGATAATTATCATTATTATAATGGTGGTGGTTTATTTACGGCATTTCCAAAGAAAATGGCTCTACATCTGCTGATAAAATATATTTATATATATAGTATATCTAACCGATTTTTGGAAAACCAACCTAACGAAATTTGCGGTCATTTGACTTAAAACTGGCGTCAAAAGGCAGGTTTCTTACGCCCGAGAACGGCTCCGAAATCACAGTAACGAAGGAAAAGGAAAGGAGAAAAAGAAAGAGCGACGGAGGAGATCAGGAAAGGAGGAGAAGAAATAAAAGCAATGGTTGCACTCTTAGCTTTTATAATGAGCTACTTTGGATATAGTTTTTGGCCGAAAAAAACTGTTGGACGGAAAAGGTCCATTTGACGATAACGTTTTCAAAAATCCGGCTAGATATATACAGCTAAACATATGTTATTACATCAGGAGCAAAAAATGTTCGTGGTAAAATGCAAAGGGTACTACTAACTAACTAGTTAACTAACAATCTAACTGTGGCTAAAATTGTATTTGAATCTATTACATTAATACTTTTTTAACATTTTTATTTCGCTCTTTAAAAATATTGAAGGTCTGTTTGGTATGTAGGGAGTAACTGATCACCAAAATGAAAATGTGACTATCATTTCAGTTAACCCTTCTAAGACAATCGAATGTCCATAGTGAGACTGGAAAAAATTAAATGTTTTATGCAAACTCTTCGTGAACAACTTCACTCGGTTAAAGGAGCTGAAATTTCTCATGAAAATATGACTGAGGAGGGCCTTAAGTCGCGGCTTATTAGCTCGGACAATCCTTGTATTTTAACATTTTCCATTGCAAGTATTTTTAGGTAAGTATATGTTATAGTGAGGAGGGGAGAAACATCGCTCCACAACCCGCCCACCACTGATATCCGACCATATCCGACACTGATATCCGCCGCCAAAATTTACTCATATACCATTTAGGGATATCTTTAAGATTGTTGTTTTAAAAAGCAGCTCTCCAAATGCGTTCTAGGAAACGCTATAAAATTTGTATCTGTTTGGTCATCCTTGGGGTTCTTCAGCCGATGCGAATAGCGCTTTACTTTTTCGAAAATCTTTGATTCTATTAAATATACAGAAAAGTCAACATTTTCCGATGTATATCTTTCCGTTACTGATTTTAAATCCCAAAATTTATTATAAGAAGTCCATTTTTGCGAATGATGACCAAATATGGGAAGACAAGTGAAAAGTGAAAATCCCATTCCCAACTTCAATCAGAGAAGTTAATGGACTGAAAACTTCGAAAAACTGAGAAGAATGATACATTCATCCATGAATTTTTAACTTTTTTCGAGCTATAGAAATCTCTAGATAATATATGTGCTTCTTCTAACAGCTATTTCACAGAAACCAGTCTTTGGGTGCCCCAGGCTACCACATGAAAAGACTGAAGGTCCACTAGATGTGCTAAATATAGGACTTTGGTTAAACATTCGATTCTTAAGGATTAGTATAATAAACTTTTCAGGTAAAACCCAGACAAGAGCAGCAATTGTTACCCCGTAGACTAACTTTTTAATGAGGCAATGTCTAATTGCTGTATAGGGACGAACTGTTGCATGCATCTGATCCAATGAAATTACTGCAGTGTTTGTAAGAGAGGTCAGAGGAAACCAGACGAAGAGAAAGCCAGTTGTTAATGTCAGTTCCAGGGTAAAGTGCGGAAATTGCACAATGTCGCATAAGTAGAGTAAGGTTACAAACAGAGAAAAGTGAGAAAATCCTGCGACAAACATATCATCTATGGTCAGGTTTATAACAAGCTACATTGATGGAAGGTTCACTGTTACTATAGCAACAGACAAGATAAGGAATATAGCAAGCAGGTGATGCACTCGAATGATATCATGGCTTGTTATCTTTTTCGCTTCACACTTTTAATTCCCTTTTTCTCTCTGTTGCTCGTCTGCCTTTCAGAAGAATTTGAAAAATATTTCAAAAAAGAACGTGGACAAAGAAGGTTGCTGTTAGTTCCGCAAAGGTCACTAATGGAGATACATTAGGACGCTGATCGACAGTATCGGTTGTTGGGACGAACGGTTTAGTTTTTATTCCGCATGCGTCTCTGCTGAAACAAAGGAAGTTTAATGGTGTTTTTCTGTTTTGTAAGCTATAAAAGTTATCATAAAAAGGGAACTCTTGATTTTATACAGCGAATGGTCAAGGAACTTTCAGAGCTACTGCTAAGAAAATATCATAGTCTTTCTACGTTGATGCAAACTATACATAAACAATTATATGAAAGAAGATCATCGCAGTTATAGACGCAACTACAAAAGGCTTTCTTGGCCAGCTGCAAAGTTGCGTAAGTATAACTGTGATGATATACTTTCATATAATTCTTCACCCCGCAGTTCTCATATATTATTTTATAGTATATTCATAACTTTATACGTTAACCATTTCACTCGGTTAACGGAACTGAAATTTCTCATATGAAAAAATGAAGAGAGCTTAAGTCGCTTTCAGCTCGGCTAATCCCTGTATTTAAACACTGCGAGCATTTATGTGTAGGCATATATATAGTGAGGAGCGACAGAAACAACGCGCTGCTTGAAACAACCCACCATACCCAAAGCCAGCCTTCTCAAAAATCCTATTATAATCATTTTAGGATATCTCTTTAGATTTTTTTAAAGCTTAGCACTAGAACGCTTTCTAAAAGGCCCTGTAAAATTCTAAATTGTTTTGTAATTCTAGAGCTCCTTTAGTCTATGCGAATTTAATACTCCTTCTTATTACTCTTCCAAAATCTTTGATGCTTTTGAATAGTTTACTAAAAACTCAACATTTTCCAGTACCTCTTTCCGTTACTGTTTCCAAAGCCAAAAAGGTTTTAGTAGTCCTTTTTACGAATGATGATCAAACCTGGGAAATGAAAGGTGAAAAACAACTTCAGAAAATCGTAGAAAAATTAACGGACTTAAAGCTTGAAAAAACTTACACGAATGGAAATTTCCAGACACCATGCATACATCGCTTCTTCGAATGGCTTTCTTAGCTATTTTTTATTATTATTTTTTTCCCTACCACATGAAACGTCCAAAGGTCCTATGAATGTCCCAAACAGTGGTCTAAGTAGGACTTAGGTTTAAAAATATTCGGTTCTTAAATAAATGTTCAACTCTATAATATAAACCATTAGGTAAAACCTTTTCGGTCAAGTTGCATTTTGTTTTCTTCTTATGTGTAACTAACCTCTCACAAAATTCTCACAAAATTCTTTGCTGGATGTCTCCACTGACGTAGCGAGAAAAAAGAGTTTGCAAAATATCAGTTAGGCTTGTAAAAGGCTTCCGCGTTGGATGTTACTCCGGCGAAGAATAACGTCCGGCTCGATTAATACGGTCTTAAATTATCTAAACACCTGTTTTGGGAAATATTGCACTTAAGATAAAATACTTAAATAATTGCCTTTGCTTATCATTTCTCCCCTTAATATAGGTTCCGCCTTAAAAAAATGTTCTGAATTAAGCTTTCAGTTGTTAAATTGAACTTCCTCTTTCAATTAGCCCATGCACATTAAATGGACCTAACTGATATTTTGCAAACTCTTTTTTCTCGCTGCGTTGGATGTCACTCCGGCGAAGATTAATACCGGCTCTGATTAATACAGTCTTTGTAAATTATCTGCACACCTTTTTTGGGAAATATTGCACTAAAGATAAAATTAATACTTAAATAATTGCCTTTGCTTGTCATTTTTTCCGCTTAATATATATACCCCTCTAAAAAAATGTTCCTGAATTAAACTTTTTGTTTAATTGAACTCCCTCTTTCAATCAACCCACATTAAATGGACCCTGCTTGATCGGCACTCACAATGAAAATTACACCGCGGTCTATATCATTCGCCGATGTTTTCGAAGAGAACGATAAGAAAAATAAAACAAAGTCTGTGTACAGGCTAGTTTTGTTCAGCCGTTTCGTTTTGTTTCAATAACTAACCTTTCGCAAAATGCTGTGCTGGATGTCCCCACTGATCAAGCAAAAAATTATATCAGTTCTATAGTTGTTGTTTGGAAAATATCAGTTCGGCTTGTAAAAGACGTCTGCGTTCGAGGTTACTCCAGCGAAAAATAATCTTCCCTTGATTTATGCACTGTAAAATGAAAAGAGCCAATTTGGCCCCAAAAATGGGGCCGAAACGGGTGAGTCCAGAATGGTACTGTTTTTTGGGCCAATTCAGCCCAACTGAGATGGGGCTGTTTTGGTACCAAAATTTGGGGCTAAATTGACCCTTGCATCGGGGCCAAATTAGACCATGTAAAGGGTTAATATGGAAAACACTAGGGCCATTTTGGATTTTCCAGTAGCCAAAACAGCCCCCTCCAATTTTGGCCCTCTTAAAAACTACCCCTCAAAAAGTAGCCGATTCAGCCCCATATCGGGCCATTATGGTATTTTTAATTTGGATGGGGGCCTACAGATTTTTCCCCTCAATTAGGTATTGACAAATAATGAAACCAAACTAAGACTTATTTCAAACATTTATTCAGTTCTGAATAAGTTACTGTGATTTGTGTACATCATAACAACACTTATATTCCAACCTATTT